AGGAGGCCTCCCACACCACACAAAATGTAGATAAATGTAGAAGTCGATCCATTGTCACTGCTTTTGTCATCTTCCACCTGTGTAACAACCACACCACTAACCTTGAAACGCTGCAGCTCACCATTTTCTGCGTTGGTTGTGATGATGTTTTGCACGTCAGACGACTTTTGTTTAGAGGACGAGGCCAGGTGAACATTGTATGACACGATGACACTTCCCTGCTCCAGCTTGAATACTCTTACTGCAACGAAGTTGCTCAGTTGTTTCAGGAAAATATTTCTGAGGGCGCTCTCGATCTCGTAAGCCGTTTTCTGAAAAATTTCACTTCGTGGGTTGGCCATTTCTTGATCATATTTGTAAAGGCCGATTTTCATGGAAACGCTGAACGTTCTAACACTTGATGGTCTTTTTGTCGTGATGCCGTCAGATTCAGGGATATGAATCGAATGAACGCTTCTGCTTAATATCCTGATGGAGGTTGGCGCTGCTGATATCGAAACTGGAGAGGCGTTTGATATGGTTGGTCTTCCGTGCGGTATTAACTCGGAGGATGACATTTGAGATGTCGTTAAAACAGGCAAGGAGTCGGCTACGGTGAAAGTTGACAACTCTGTTATTGACTCCGGAAGAATGGTTAATATCGGTGATAATGCTGTTGTTTTTCCCAGAGCAAGGGTAGCAGACGCTGTGGACTCGTGACTCGCTATCCAATCTGAATCTGAATCCAATTCCCATAAATATATTTTATACACTGTACTTCCTATTATGCCGGTCTTCATCACGTCCTCCAGGATAATAGCCAGCTGTTGAATTGAGAAGTTCCTGGACGTTTCCACGTGTACGCTGAATTTAACAGCAAAACCTACGTTAGTTGACCACTTGGACAACTCAAAGACATTCCAGCCTTTGATATCAGAAGAAGCATTAAACACCATCTCAAGCAACTTTTCCATCGCTGACACTTCTTCAATGTAGGCAGGGCTGTACTGGTTGGTAAAAACCTCCCTCCACTCTATAGCACTTTCCAAAAACTGAGCTAAATACAGCCTCTTTGCAGACGATGAGGCATTTGAACTGGCATTTGTTGGACCAATTCCAATTTTGTCGACCATCGATTCATTTACTGTAGGAAATTAAATTTTGTTTATTACAGTTTGATTCTACATCTAAGGATATTGTCTTTGCTAAATCTTCCTAATAATCCAATCCCACCACACGGACATCTCCATAAACCCGGGGGTACCTATACCGGCCAATACCGCGAGGCTCCGCACGAAAGGGTTACCTGTTTCAAGCATCAGGTATATGAAAGGGTAAGGAAATCTGATATTTCGTTCTCAGAAGTTTCAATAAACACCGACGGCCGACGAAACGCGTCGGCTACTTTGCTCATATAGGTCGGCAACTTTTTTGCTAGAAAGGAGAAGCAACTAGTTTGAATAACGTTGTGAACGAAAAATAAATCACAAAATATGAATGATAACGTATCAATGATATGTTTTCATAAAGGCACACTGGTTTTACGTTATGCTTTGGTGATGTGAACTCTATATTTCAGTCATTTTTTCACAAGTTTCTTTATAGGTTCACGCAGAATTTGTTTAGGTGCAAAAGTACGTAATTTAGTTCTCATCATTTGTTCATTGCTTGTATGACTTGATTGTGTGACTGATAAATTAAAAGCTACATTTTCTTGAATGAAAAACACGCTTTTTTGTCAGGTGTTTTGTCCTCAAATTTAGCCCCCAGAACGCTGAAACTCGCATTTTAGGGCTTTGAAATTTCCCAATTTTCTGGGGCAGAACGCGAAAATAGATTGAAACACCTATGAAAGATATTTGTGTTATGGTCTTCTGTTTTTTGTTTGGCGATTTTTTTGCTCACTGTCAGTTCTTTCTATTTCATTTCCACACTCATCCCTCGCGGTTTGTTAGGTATAATTTTTTTTCAACATACAGCATATAAACTATATCTAAGTTTCGACAAGTTCAATGCAAGCCTACTTCTAATATTCGCTAAAAATTGTTCTGCAAAAAAGAACTTAAAGATTTCAAGATAACGCGAGATTTGCTAGGGGCATTTGGAACTGAATCAAGAAAATGCTTACCGTTTCGGTTGTATCTGTGTGTTCTACACCTGGACATTTCAAAGACAGCGGAAAAACTAACTAACACAAAGAACGCAAAGTTCAACCTCTCCACCATTGCAGTCACGGTTTCGTAAGTCAGCAGAGTTTTCTTATTTCTTCATCTAGATGGCAGAGTACTGAAAACGTCATGCCAAATTTGTGCACTACCTGGCAAGAACTGGTAAATTCATTATCTTTGTTTTCTCCTAATTGCTGTCCGGACTCTAGTGTCTTCTACCGTCGTATTCTTTTGTGATTGGCAGGTTTTGACACGTAGTAAAAGCCTCATATTGTGCTCGATATTAAAATAAAACAAATGAGAATGTATTTCATTAAAATCTCCTGGAGGAACACAGATACCCTGTAATTTAGAAATGATTATAAGATTTTTGAAAAAAACTCGTTGATGATATTGTATTTTTTTCTGCTGCTAGAGTATTCAAAACGATGATGATAAAATAAACATGGTCGTGGAAATTTCTCTTCGTATTCCTAGAGAAATCAGTTATGCATTAGCTTGCATTAAAGAATAAGATAGAAGAAATATTGTAATCCATTGAAGAAGCAGTTCTATTTGGGCTAGCTTAAGGTTGGAAATTTCTTAACTGTTGTACCACTGAAAGTCAAAAGGCATTAACATTTAAAAGGATCTATAAATTTAATTCAAATTAAATACGACCACAAAAAGGCCATAACAAGTTAGTTGTCTGGAGACTTCTTAGATATTAAAACCACACGATCTTTCGAAGGACTTGACTGTGTTTATATTTTTTCCCAGGGCTCATCGATTATTTTACCCAGGTGTGGGACGAGATTGTCCACATGTTATGCATCTAACAGTGGGGAAAAAAGGTGGGGTATCTTTTGTTTAGTCCAAAATCGAGGACCGCGCATTGCCAAGGCGCTGAAATTCTGGGTCGATTTAACTTCTGTCGCTGACTTATTGACATTTCCCCCTTCTTTCTGTGTATCTTTCTTCTTTCCTTTTTCATATACCGTAAATCCTCTATTAAGCCCTCCTTGTTCTCTCCTATTCGCCTCTCTCCCTTTATTTAGTCCCCACTTCCCGCCGTATACCCACAGTTATTCTCCACGTCGTTTACACACCGCTCCTCCACCCCCCACACCCCCCACAATACCTTCTTTGCTGTCTTTCTTTTGTACTTCCCCCCCTTCTTTTTGTTTTTTCTTTTTTCCCTTTTCATATCTCCCAAACCCCCCATTTAAGCCCCCCCCCCCCCCACAAAAAGCCCCCCCCCCCTTAAACCCCCCCCCTTTCAGGGGGAAAAAACTTTTAAATCCCCCCCCCTTTTTAAAACCCCCCCCCCCCCCCCCACCTCGCCCTGCCCTCATTATTCTTTACTAAGTAGTAAATGATAGGCTGTATTAACCAATCACGACTGTAAAACTTCGTGTGGACTGATCCGGGATGGTTTATTTACTAACTAGAAGTTCGGATTTGATTCTGATCCTCGGCTGCATGACCTAAAACTTCTGGCACTTGAGCTTCTAGCTCTTTACGGACAACTGATACCATCGTCGTTTCTAATTAAAATAAGACCCCTTCTCAAATGAGCCCCGCGTCTTCATTAATATTAAGCCCCCCCGCGGAACTTAATAGAGGATTTAAGGTATATACATGGTTAATACAACTCCAAACAAACAAATTCAAAGGACATTTCAAGGATTTTTTAAGCACAAATTACAGTTTTCAAGGACTAAGATTTATTTAATAAATCGGCATTCTTCAACCTCCATTATCACCGTTTTGGCTAAAACACGTCATGGCCGAGTCATTTACGACTTTTACTTCCGCGGCCATCGATGAACACATTATTTGGTACTACTTCTTGCAACGACGACTTTGCAAAATGACTGCGTATGACTTGAAATCACATTTAAGGTAAAGACATAGCATTTGAAATAAAGAAACAAATAGTTGTTCATCCACAAAAAATTTTTTACGTTACCGGTGAGTTTTTCAGGTTCTTACACCGAGGATGAGCCAAATTTTCCTCGGCAAAATAATCTTATTTTAAAGAAAAAGGTGTCTGGCGTCGACAAGGTTGTAAATTTCAAGGACTTTTCACGACCTTAACCAAATTCAAGGACTTTTCAAGACGACTACTAAAATTCAAGACTTTTTCAAGATTGTACGAACCATGTATATAGCCATATACGCAAGACACTGTCTGTCAGAGAGGAGGGGTGGGGAGAAAAAGATGAGTTATTATAAGAAATGAAAGTTTAATGAGTTTCCATTCAGATACAAAGACTTCTAGTTTTAAAACTGTTCAATAACCCTGTTGAATTACTATTTAGGCAGGTCTTACACCTCTTAAATGCACTAATTGTAAGACATTTTGAAAACACTCTTGCTTTTCTATTCAACAGTAGATAATGACTTAGAAATTAACTGTCAAATGGATAGTATAAACCAGGGTTAAAAACAACATGCACAAGATAGAAGTCATTTTGATTTCATCAACATAAAAAGTGGGAGAATAGAAGAATTTTAGTCGAATTTCTGACTGGCATGGTCAAAGAAATCTACAACAGTAGTCTTGTGTAGAGCCTGCAAAGGCATGTGTTTTTACAGCCAGAAAAGTTAGCAAATTTGCAAGCTAACTTGTGTATAAGATGGCAAGAAGAGTGAGATATAACATGTAGCACAAAAAACTTATTTCAAGAGGAAAAACTGTTCTGAATGATGACATTCAATGCAAGAACATTCTTAGTACCTTAATTTCAAAGGCAAAAAGTCAGTTCGCAACAAACTTACACAAGGCATTTTTTGACAAGCAACTAGGAGGTATTAAACTAAAAAACACTTAAATAGAGTTCATGATTGGGAAGTTACATGAGCGATCATTTAGATGGGTTTGATCTTGAAATGAAGCCCAATCAGAGAAAACACCATGCACTTGAGATCTTGAACTAAATAATAAAAACATCTCAAGCCATCAGGATCCCTGCAAAAAAATTAAAAAAAAGAAATAACCTTAGCACATTAAAAAGTAGCCTGCATCAAACACGAAATTTACCCTAGTGATTACCATCTGCAAAGTAATACACAGATTCTTGTCTAGACCTCAATGTGGAACCAAGATTGCAAAGGTCATATATGACTGGTCTTTGTGTAGGGATGTTTCATTATGCTATGGACAACTCTCACTGGGTAGAAAATACCTTGTAAACAATAACTGGAAGTAACCAGTATGAAAATGGAATGCTTGTCAGACCAAATTATGTTGAGCAAAAACATAAACTGCATAAAACATTTTGCACTACAGTAGAGACTATGCATCCTTTCAGCCAGGCTGTTAGCCAGACATGGAAAACTGGCCAACCGGAAGGCATGTTTTCCCATAAAATTATAAGAGGTTAAGGGAATTTTCCTTGTATTTCTTCCAAAAATGGGCATCCATAGGATGGCTGTACACCCTTCTGGCTAAAACCTTGCTTCCAGCCCTAGCTGTTTCCCACAATGAGAATTTCAGTGGCCAAACTGTAATTGTAGGGTTAATATAATATATGTTCCTTCACTGGGAGAGCAGAAGAAGAAATTTGAGCTCTACTTCAGAGCCATTATAAATTGGCATTGCATCACAGGGCTATTCATAATAAAAACAAACATGGTGGGGGGTACTCCTCATAATGGGCAATATGGGTAGGCTTCGCCCGAAAGAGGTACCTTTTTCAGGCCTCAGTTATATGAAATGGTATTGATGTCAATGGTTGAAGTACATGAAAGGATAGGGAAGCAACGCAAAATAACCTTTACAGAAGTTGGTATAAAGTAGGAGGTAAACTGGCTTTGTTTATGCAATTTAGCACAGGCAAAGCACAATAAGATGAAATGTTTGTTTTAACTTTACTCTTTTCAATTATTTTAAATCTAAATCATAAAGAAATCTGGTCGCCAAAGACCCGACTAAACCAGAACTTTTTGTTAACAGGGAGAAAATGTTAGCTGCAATGGTGACTGTATCAGTCACAATTTCAATCCCTGTTTTGGGGTGGATTTTGCAGCATGCGTATAGCCACTGCATTTGACCAATGGGATTTTTCATTTTTCTAAAGCCTGAAAATAGTGAACGCTTCCAAAAACGTGTTGTCTCAAAAAACTGTAATCACACGCTCTCTCTTGATCTCTATTTTTTTCTCTTGATTTGGATCCATAAAAAAAGGGTGCGTTGGGCAAAAAAAGAAAAAAAACACACAGGTTCATGATGATTGATCACCACAGAAATAACAACAATTAACGAACAGTTGTAGATAATTAAATAACTTAAATAATGTGACTTACTTGCACTGATTGACATCAATAAGGGAACCAATCTTAGAAGTTGTGAATGAAATGTGCTGTTCACCCATGACAATTTCCAGTTCCTGTAAATTCCAAAGTTTTCTTCAATCAATACAGTATTTACTAGTGTATAGTATGCACTTTTTTACCAAAATTTGTTTCAAAATTTGAAGCGTGAAATCCTTTGTTATTTTTTACCCCTCTCCTCCCCCAGTTCCTTCTCTTGAACTCTAATGCCTACCTCGAGGGTTAATTTTTCTACTCTCCATAATCTTTCTCAGTGATAGAATCAAAGATGGCCACCATGGGATTATGAAAATAAACAAGCAGCTTTTGCTTGCCAAAAAAATATGCCTGCAATGCAGGCTATGACGTTTTAAGAGTGTTTTTTAATACAGGGGAAAATAAACAGGGGAATCCCTCCCTACAAAAAACAAACTGCAACAAAAAAAATTTAGAAGCCAAACCTGTTTTGAGGAAATCTTTTGGTCGTTCGACCTGAGATAGAATTGTAATAAAGAAATATATTTTAAATCATTCACACTTACTTGTCTACCAACCCTGTCAGGTTGTGGCCAAAGTTTGTCATCTTCTTGAAGAATCTATAAACAAATGAAAATAGTAATCTACAATACAAAGCAAACTGACATGAGGTAGCCATGTTTACAGTGTTGATTTCTAGTTCTGATAGTAATTTATTTATTCAAGGAAGAAGGAGGTATTCTCCTTTACAAGATATAAAGGGACATTGAAAACATAAAGGGTAAGGTTTTAAGAGATTCTGGTATCAAACAACCACTTAATGCCAACCATTTTGGGCTTAAACTGGGTTGAGATATTTCATGGTTGTGTTTCCCTTCTTTATCTTGAAACAAAAAAAGAGAAGTATCCTATGAATCCTGCGTCTTTGTATTTCTTTGCTCTTAGCCAGGAAATAGATAGATTGGGGGAGGGGGGGAGGGGGGTACCCCCCATCCATTTAAGGGCTAATTTAAGCAGGCAAGTAGTCCACACTGTTTTTTTTTACTCATAACATGTTGTACTTGTAAAGGTAATTTCTTTATAAATAAAGACAATTTCGTTTGATTTATTTCATGAGTGTCCTTTTGCTTTGCTAAATAGTTGTTTCTCCAAAGCTTAAAGTACACAGTTGTGGAATTCAAGATTTATATTATTATTATTACTAGGGTATCTAAAAGATAGTAATGCTGCGGCACATTCTGTTGATACTGGCATTAGTTAGGCAGTGAGACTTAACAGAATCAAAAATGACATTGAATGTCCTATTTACATGTTGGAAAGTACTAGAATAATAATCATTACTATCAGTCTACAGAAAGAACTCGTGGGAACGTTGTTTAGAAAATGATCAAGTGGTTATCAACTCTGGTTTTCCCACAGTAAATTGTAGGAAATAATAGAAATTCAGATCGTTTATCCAAAATACACGGTGCACGATATTTTCTCTGGAAACACAATACTTTTCTTGCTGTTTGTTGCACTTTATTAAGTAACAGTTATTTAACTATATATTTATAGAAAACAACAACACAAAAAAAGGGAAAAAAAAAGAAAGAAGGAATAAATAACTAAATAGGATTCGAACCCGGCACCTCCGCCTCGACGCGACTACACTTAACCACTACACCACAGAGACTGAGTACGTATTCTTTAGGAAAAGTCTTTCCTTTTATTCCTTTTCCATGAAACTTCTGCCGGCAAGATGATCGCCAGCCGCATTAACCGAGCTATTAACAGTGAAAAAACAATGTAAACGCATATTCCATGGCAATAAATGAATGAAAGAACATAATTATGCTTTTCAAAACGCCGATACACGTCCTCGTCTGCAAAGAAGGACACAAAACATATGTTTTGTTATCTCGATTTCCGCTGTTATTTTGAAGCGAATGGTCAAAATCACATCCATTTTCGGCTCATACAGTTTCTTAAGAATAGGATTGCATGAAATTTTCTCACTTTCACATCACCTTCTAGCAAGCTGGAATTTGTACATCCCCCATGTTGCGGAGTCGAAGAGCAAAAAAGGCTCTTGAGTCAAACTCAAGGCTCTTGAATTGAAATCCAATCCCCAAGTTAACCATCGTACTCATCTGAAAGACTCCTGCGTGTCTTAAAATTTGGTAAGACCTCTAACCGTGCTGTAGAAAATTTGCCACAGAGAACTCGAAGTCTGAGCAGCGAACGATGCACTCTCTCACCCGCCGAACTTCCCCGTGTTTTTATTTGAGTTGTTCATGGCGCAATGCACTCTGGTTAAATGCAATGCATTGTGGTAAAAAGTGTGGTTAAATGCAATGCATTGTGGTAAAAAGTGATGAATTCGAGAATTCGTCGCCCCTTGTATATTTCCTTTAAATCCTGATTATGTTGCTGCTCGCTCCCTTCGGTCGCTCCGCAGCAATTATTATTATTATTATTATTATTATTATTATTATTATTATTATTATCATCATCACTATTTTCCCTGTCACTGTCATCATCATTATCATTATTGTCATTACTATTATTATTTACAAACCTCACTGTCTTCTATGATTCTTTTTAGTTCATCCATGACAGCCTTGTGTACAAATGCCTGTTTGAAAGAAATTTATTTGTTGTAGAAAATTTTCTCATAAGAGTCATCCTGGGAGACCCAGTGCTAAGTTATTGGGAATTCACTTGCAATGTCTTTGCAGACAACGTTTTCATCAAGAATGGGACGACGAAGGACAGTTATTCTTACAGAATCAGTTACAGAAGCATCTTATGCCCAGTTCAAACATCGTACTTCCCATGTACCGAACCTAATCCCTTCAAGTAAGTATAGGAAAAGATTGACATTTGAATCAATAAAGTCCAACACGTCAAATTTGGGTCAACCCATGAATCAAGTTCGAATGGCCTACATGGGAATTTTGACTGTGGAGCAACTTCACTTCAAACATCAAACTTTTCATGTGCTGAATCAAATGCATCAATTGCCTTAATTTATTTTGGCTGGTTAGCATTGTAGATCATCATTGTACATTGTGAAAAAGAATTAAGTCTGACTAGTTGAGTTAGACTTCTGAATCAACTGTCAAACTTACATCCCATTAGTCGACCAAATAGGTACTAGGTAACTTCAGTACATGAAAAGTTTGTTGTTGAACCGGGCCTTAACTCACTGCTTCTGATCTCTTCTGGCCAATCATGAAAATCTCCCTGACCACAGAATATCCCAGCCAGGACAAGACTGAAAAAGTAAGCTTACAGTATATTTACTGCTCAAAAATTTTCAGGAGTCAAGAGGGAATAAACATTCCTGATATTTTTCTCTCTAGAAAAATCAGATTTTGACATGAAATTCGCATATTGATTTTGCCAGTTTGCCCATCCATTATTTCAGATTTCCTTCTTAAAAGCGCGAGTTATCTAAAATAAGCCAACGAGCAAGAAAACGTCCTGGGCTCGGTTTCCTCGAAAGATGGTTAAGTTTACCCAGGATTAAGCCAAGTTTTAAGCAAGGTCTTGTCTAAGAACATGTAACTAGAGCTTACAAAATACTGTTGTCTCTTTACCTCGAAAAAAAGAAATGATAACACAAAATGTTACTCTAAGCAATGCATAGGAAGGTAAATACAGAAAGTGGAACAAAATTTTAATCCTGGATTGGAGCAAATCGGCCTTTCAGGAACCGGGCCCAGAATCTCAAACAAAAAGCTAACCTTCTAACTCGAAAAGAGCTTGGGTAAGCTACAGAATTCGCAAACGCAGCACCACATTACTATGTGTTACTGCGATTATCACGTGAAATATGGAGGTGTTGAAGTACTTTTTCAAGTTCTCTTAGCTTACATGTAACTATAATTTCTTAAAGCTCTGCAGAATTGCAGATTAATTATGTCAAGTCTTCAAGTCTTCTGCTTCAGTGCTTATATAGTTGAACGGTACGGTATTTCCTAAGAAATGACGTCACTACGGGTTAATCGAAGTTATGCTATTACAGTTACAACTAAGAATTAAACTTGTGAAGTTACATAAATGGCATATACCAGCTCTTACCTCTTTTCGAATCATGACATCGTTCTTGTAGTTCGAATTGTTAGCATACCGAAGTTTACCTGAAGACGAGAAAATAAGCCATGTGACTATTCTAAAACCACTTAATTCCTTGCATAAAAGACTGATCAAGCTTACCATCTGGTCGAAATTCGAATTCCAGAAACTCGTGGCCAAATTTTCCTTTATGACCCACATAGTAGCGAAGATAAAATTCCGCCATATTGAAAAGAAGCGCGTGGGGTAATGTGAGCCGAGATTATTTGTTTTCAGCGGATATAGGCAAACTGGTCTCCAGGCTTCTAGTTCTTTACGCAATTTTGCCCACTGCTGAAAAGTTGAAAATTTCCAGTCTGTGATATGCGGAGCATGTGCTATTAGCCGCATGCGAGAAAAAAAAACTCAGAGCATATTGCTCCTCTTCCCTTAAAAAAGCGTGAAAAAAAGGCCACAAAACCCTTGCAATGTAGCTCTCAGGAATAAGCAAGAGGGAATACCGTGGAGGCCCGCCTTACGGCCACCTCGGTAATACGGACACCTCGTTATTATGGCAACTTTTTTTCGGCCCGGTAAAACAGCCATACATATACAAAAAAACCGTTGATGCGGTCACCCATTACCACGGCCAACGGCCATATTTTAAAATCCCAAACAGTATAGAATCTCTAATGCTTTCACCCCATTAATAAGGCCATTTGTTCGAAATTTAGAAAATTAAAATGCCTTTGAAATGTCAGTTGTATTGACCTACAGTCGACGCACGAAAACTTGAACCTTCTAAGGAAATCGGAAAAAGTTCGAGTTATCGGGGGTTTGAAGCAAATAACCGGAAATAAGCAAATGGATGGGAGGGACACTGGATTTGAACTGGAGTGACAAAAAAAGTAAAGACAAAGAATTAACTCCGTTGTTTTGAAATAATTTCAAAGTTTCGGTCTTCAGAACACAGTCTTTTGCCGACTTATCACGCGCTTATAACATGGTTCGAGTTATTGAGGGTAAAATTGTAGAGAAATGAGCTGAAGGGAAAAAAAACTTACGTCGGGTTAGCGGGAGGTTCGAGTTACCGAGGGTAAAATTACAGTAAATCAGGAGTAGTAAATGTATGAAGGAAATCCGGGGGAAATACTTTGGTTCGAGTTAGCGAGGGTTCAAGTTGTCGGGAGTCAACTTCAGTAGTCTGAGTCTGTTCTTGTCCTTTTTATAGACTACAGTACACACCAGTAAAGTGCACTTGTTGCGATTTTAGAACAATTTATAGCCGAATTTTAAAAGTGCTTTATGTACTGAAGGGAATTCTTAAGTAGTTTTTTCAATTACAGTACGCGATATCTCCATTCCGGTCGTTTAATAACGAGAACAGTTGTTCAAGAATTGCGAATGCGATGTACTGTGTATTTGTCTACGGCCCGCACGTCAGAAAATTTGAGCCTGCCCCGATAACAAGGCCAACCCATTAATACGGCCAACTCAGTATTTTGACCCATTGGTGACCGTATTACGTGGTTCCACTGAAAACTAAATAACAAAAAATACGTAAAAACAAAAATAGGAGCAATAATCATACAAGTATTTCATAGAGGGTCACTTTAGGTTCGCACTGTGTTCATTCAGATAGAATTATCACCGTTTTATCTTTTTCTTTTCAATTCCTAAATATGCTGTCATCAGATTAATTTCACCGGAGTCAAAACTCGTCGCTTTGTAGCGTGCAGGATTCTACATTCAGGGGCACCCAACGACAATTTTCGGAAGAATATCTGTTCGGAAGACGATTTGAGATCTAGAATTTTCGAAACATTTGTTGTAAAATTTCTTGCTTGCTTGCCTCTCCTAGGATTTTCGAACATCCAAAAAATGGTATATTTGCCTATTTTTAAAGGATTTTTACCCTAAAAAGGTCACCTAGAATTTTCGGAAGCCTTTTTTCTGGCTGAAATTTTCGAAAAGGTAAGTTTTGATCCCTATAATTTTCGGATCACTAGACTTTCAGCTAGGAAATCCGAACAGATGAAAAATTTTTAGGGGATAAAAATATGCCTATATCTACCGTCTAAATACTAAAATACGTTTAACAATGCTATGTTTAAGTGGTTTTGAGCTATATTCTCGTTGGGTGCCCCTGTACATTCATGTCTCACGCAATTTATTAAACAGCCAGCGCTCTGTGTGTTGTCACAGATTATTTCTCTCCCACTATCTGGCTCGGCATTCATTTTTTTAAAAAAGTTGAATACCACTTAATTTAGAATCAATTTTAATCCGTTAATCGCGGCTTAATTAACTCCCTTCATTACAGCTTTACTAAGTACCCTTCACCATTAATGATGCTTTCTGTCAGATGCCTTGTTCGAGCTAGCGAATTACTTTATACTAACTATCTTGCCATTGTTCGAAGATCTCTGAAACCTCCGCTGTTATTAAAAGTTTTCCGCCGGCCCCTTTCTTAGCTGCGTGTCTGATCCTTGTTTATAAATAAACTAAATTTAAAAAGCAACGGTTTTAGCCCGAGGCGATTGGAGAGGTCAGCGATAAAATGCTGACTACCATGACACTAGGAAACTTAAACTGGTCTGAAGAGATTTTATCTTTGTTCATTGTTAACTTGATAATTATTTCTCGAAGAAATAACCGATTCGTTAACTCTATGGTAAAGTGCAAAGTCCTTAGGCCATGACTCCAAGTCGTTACATAACGGACAGTTTCCCTTTTGGAATTTTGTGACTCAAAGTAAATTTTTTATTTAAGCATCCACTATTGTTTTTTATTTATGCAATTGTTTTTAGTTTTTGCCAATGCTATTTAAGCCATTAGGCATCTCATCAAGGAACTCGGCTTTGGCTTATATGACGATATCTTGGAAGAATGAAAGCAATGCTGAAATACTAAGAAAGCGGTTGGCATTTTTCAAATCAAATCGCTTGAAACTTAGTAATCGTTAATGCTAATGGTAATTGATTTTTATCAGTTGATACTATCATAAGCCAGTTTGATCAATTTTGATGAGGGCCGGATTCTCCTGTGTTTTGGGTTTCTAAGGAAACAACGAATTCATGCTTTACCATTGGCTAATAGTTATTTAAAGTTTGACGCCTTTAAACAATTGTTTTTTTTTTCCAATATAAAAAGACCATCGCACGAGGCTTAATTAAAAGTAGTTTTCCTTTGAGCACGAAAGTGCATCTGGCTTTGGAGCTCATACACTCGAAGACGCTAGTTACGATTGGTTTGAGACACCCTTACTGCCGTATCAGTATTTCCGGCTGTCAATAAGGCTACAGTATTGATAAGTATCAATTTCAGGCGTTATAAGCCCGTTACAGCGATTCAAATTTTCATTTTACCGCCAACATGAATACTGCAAACCTCGAAGTCTTCTCTTTGATGATCTTCGCTCTTACGAGCTTTCAGCTTTGTTCCTGTGTCCCAGGTAAAGACTTTTACTCCAGTTAAAAGTTAATGCAAGAGTTGGTGACTTTTAACGTTATTTTCTTAATTTGTTTTACGCTAACGTTTGTTTTATCCTCGTGCAGGCAAAACTCAGAGATCAGAGCCAAGAGATGAAAACTCAGAGAGCTTACTGCAGAGGTGGCTAACAGAGGTAATACCTTCTTAATATTTTATTTAGCGCGCTTTGATAAATTTTAGTACAAAATTACGTTTAGTGCCTGTGATAACGGACAGCCCATTCCTTTATTTGAAGTCGATTTTGTCTTACAAGTTAATGCTTGCTGGAGCAGAAATTTCAATGTAGCCGTCTACCTGGTACATTTCAAAAGTGTATGAAGAAAATAACCCTGTTTGGATATACTTTGTGCCTCAACGGTAGAAATTCGTTCTTTATTGTCAGAACCAGTTTGAAAATTAACAGTTATGCATACCCAAAGTAATCTGAAATACAAGCACTGCCGTGCCAATATTAATATTGCAGAGCTTTTGTTTTTGAGAGTCAAGCGTGGGGACGCGATCTTATTTGTTTAGCATTTTTGTGGTTGTCCATACTTCGCAAATAGAACTGAAGGACGTTAGAACGTGGCGCCAAGATTTGAATTAAATATTGCGCCAGAACGATAACTTGAGAATATCGTTTTCATTCCATCGCCCTGTCATCACTTTGCAAAAAATAGCCTCCTACCCTCTGTTGTGAAAGAAAACATTCCCTGTGGGAATAAACAATGCACTGGGAATCTAGAAAAACATGCCACGATGTATGAATAATTTTTATAATTTAGCTTTAGAATTCAACGGAGCATGTAGACAAATACCAGTTTTTTACATCTTGTTAATCACAGCTAATTGATAATTCATAAAGAAGGAAAAATTCATGTTAAATGAGGGTCAATGTGAAATTCTATCTACACTAAAGTCTCAATAGATTTTTGTCACCTATCCTTTCCTTTAAAAGTCCATTAGCGCCAGTCGGAAAGCAAGTAATGTATTTTCACGTCATTAAGAAAACATTTAAATAGGGTTCAAAAAACACGAAGAGCTAATGAATTAATAACAAATGAATATTTTAGTTCATATGTTTAAATTTTTACGTGTTTGGCCAATTTTTTACTTTCAAAATCACGCTATTTTTGTTTATACTCATCTCGTTTGAAACGTTAAGGAGCAAAACACTCATACGACAGGGGATTGAAGAGTTTTAACCGGGCGTCTGCAAAATAAAAAACCATTTCTATCTGTCTCGTAGCTTAGGGCAATGTAAGGACGCTAAAAAATCGAAAGCACTAGATAAAGTTTTCGAACTATTTCTTAACGTCTCTTGCATAATTATAGTTAGCCAGGGACACTTAACTTCAAAAATGTCAAGTGTAGTCAATTGCCTATCGGCCAAAATGATGAATATACGAGGCTTGCTAAACTGTTCGTGAGCAAAGTATTTCTCATTTTTTTTAATTTTTAAACGCTGAATCCCAACGACGTCCGCGGAAATGTAAAAGAAGGAGAAAAAAGAACTGGACTCACGGAAAAATTGCCTGCAGCTATAACATTGTTTAGGTTGCCGCCGACACGAAGAAAAAAAATTTAAGACATAAAATTCTAAATCAGAAAAGTTTTTTACATTTCAACGGACTCTGCCGTCGTTGAATAATGCAACACTCACTCAAAATATGCGCGCGTCCGTTATTTATATACACAACGGAACTGGAATCTTGTCTGTCAAGAAAAAAAGAAGAAGAAGAATCCGGAGATGATTTCCAGCTGTTTGTTTGAGGTGTCCTTTTACCAAGGAAAGCAATAATTTGATCGCAACTGAAGTAGCAATTTTAATATTGAAATATGAAATAATAGAAACGTCTGAGTTGACAGCGAAGGAGGAAAAACGACACACGAGAACCCGAAGGGAACGCGTACACGAGAGTCCTTGCACGCGCGATCTCACTCCTCCCTTTCGTATGATGACTAGGAGGTCACAAGCATTTTATGCCGTCCCCACTTTACGCGTTTACCATTGTTCCCTTGAGGAACATATTTATCTATTTCCAGGCTATCCATTTGGGGGATCGAAACGGTTTGCGTTCGTCAGTTCTCTTACAGACAACGCCTATTTTTGTAATCGTTCAAAACCTGAAATGTATAGTTCGCCTGGCAGCCGCTTTATACGTTGAGTGTTGCTTTCGAGACAAAGAGCGGCTGCGTGGGAGGCAGGAAACGGAAACCTAAACGGACTCGTGAGGAAGTATTTATAAAATCTTAGCCTGCAAGACAGGCAAGCGTAAAGCGCGAGAAAAGAAAACCCTGTTCTGCAGGCTTTAAAATCTTGCCATGACGTTTGCGCTGTGGATGACTTGAAATACAACGGTAAAATGTTTATGGGCATAATAATGAGAGTTTGGGGCAGTCTCGACCTCGATCAGTAATACACCTTCACAGTTTGCAAATAGCAGACTATCCAGTCAACCCATTGTCACGTCTAGGCCGGTTGGATTTCCATTTGGTTTTCCTAAATCTCAGCTTCAAAGTCAGAACCCTTACTTTGAACAAGATGTAATGTGCCAACTATGGTTGATCAAGCAACTTTTGACGTAAAAAAAGTTATTACATTTTGCATCTAATATTATTACATTCTGTGTTACTATTACATTTTGCGTCAAAGGTTATTACATTTTGCGTTACCATTACATTTTGTGGCGCAACAAACGGCGTATGTTAGATTTACGAGTACCTCCTCAGCGAAAGAGGGACCCGAAACTTACCTAGTATATGCGTTGACTTTCATCGTCAGCGACACAAGCCTGCTGATCTGAAAAGTCTCATTTGTCTCTCATTTTACTAATGTCCTGTAACTTGCAAGCAGAGACCCTTTGATCTTCCCGACTTATCCAAACAATCAAATTCAAGGACCGCTGCTGTTAGGCTATTTGGCTAGCGTTTATTTTATACGAGAAAGAGTTGACCCCTGTGCCCGAGCCAACAGCTTGCTCTGATTGTCTAAAAACGGCACCGGCGCATGCCCTGATTATCTCACCTTGACCGTGTCTACCCGGGGCAACTTTTCTCCATATAAACCGGGCCTTAGCAAGCGAGAGGTGAATGCGGTGAGGAAATACGAAGCAAAAATTTGGATTTACTGCGTTGCTCCTCGGTCGGGAGAAACATACCCAGTTGACTCATAATACTTTTGAACAGGCTAAAAACCCGGTTTTCCTTCTTTTTCTTCTTTTTACTACAGCCGTCTCTTGAACAAGCAGATAAAAGAATGGATGTGCCTCGAACGAAAGTTCTTCAGAAAAGGATTTTCATGGGAGAAGATAAAGGAGATAGCAGATACAATGGCTTTGATCCTGTGAAATCTGGGCACGAGTCTGCACCTGACCGATCCATACGGGAAAGAAAGAAGCAGTTTGGTGAGAGATTTGAGGCGCTTAATGAATTCAAAAACGACGTACCGTATGCACGCCAGGCCCAAGTCCTTCAGAAAAGGATTTTTATGGGTGAGGATCGTGGACGCGATGTTCCAGAGAGCAGATACACGAGCAAGGTTTTCGTAGGAAAAGGACCCCAAAAAGATGACCCTGAGAGTATTCCGCAGGAGAACAATCTTGAGAAGTTGCTTTCTTTGAGGGCTCGTGCGAGGGCTCTACATATGAACGTTGACAACTACATTGAAGAGTACCGAAAAGAAGACGCGGGGCAAGATAACAGGAAGAAAGGAGACCGGCTGCATGATACAAAATGGGAGAACATTCCCCAGCGCTTTCGCTGATTACCAGATTGCCAGCCGATTAAAAAGAACTTTTTCACCTAAGAAATGTAAACATAATCAGTAGGCAGCTTAAACTTCGATTTATTTAATGCACTTCATAAAAGTTTTTGCACTTTACTGTGAGGCTCCACCGTGGAGCTTGATCGATTGCATTATATCCTGATTCCAGAAAACCAGCTGGAGTTTGTCTTTGGTTTTCTGGGATATAACATCGACTTCTGAATGATTCAGATCAATGAGAGGTCAGCGAGACAGTACGCTGATTCATCAAACTAGCCTGAGAAAACAGCCGACATTCCGCGACGCCACCGCTGTTTTTTTGCGCCGCAAAATGTTGCTGAAATGTCAAACCAGATGTGGCGTTGAGAAATCTGGGCCCTTTTCTCAGGCTATCATTAAACCTGCAAATTAGATACTATGCAATTGGCTTTTCTACGGTTGTAAGCAATTTTAGCTTTCTTAAGCAGTGTTTTGCCTGTTTTGCAGTGGGCGGAGCTGATTTAGATAATAGAGACCTTTGGATTCGAGGATGAGAACGCGTGTGAGATTTAACAGCCCGGAAAGCTCGCAAAGTGATAAAACTTCTAACATTTGATAACTCGTTTCCGCCATTACTCGCTAAAACTCGTAGGCTGGCGACGGCTACCAAGTTTTCCCGCCAAAATGACGCTGGTTCACACGCGCGCATTACTTAGCTAGAATTGGGAAAATCTCGTACTCGTAGTCGCACTTGCTCTTAGAATCTAAAGGCCTCTACTTAATTAGGACTAGAAACAAACGTTCGCGTCTGGTAATGTTAAGGAAAGAAAAAAAAATGCAACGCATTCTTTTGGAAAACATGCTTTAGCGGAGTTTCTACTAGCCATGTTCATTTACAAATACAGTATTTAATATTAAAACAATTATCTATGAATCTTTAGAAATGTTAAAATAATCGTATTAAGGGACAGGAAATGTAAAGGACACTACACGAAAACTAGTAAAAGAAAGTTTGTTTTAAAAGTGTTATGTTTCACTTCTTATATTGGTTGCTGTTCTGTTTCTTTTTGAAATCTTTAAAACGCACCACAGCTGATCCAAGCATGTTACATTTCTACACCTAACCATTTCTTTTTTCTGTTTTGATTAGTTTTATTGCTCACTACTAACTAGTCCAAGATCAAGTCAGGGTTCCAGTTTTTCCGTCCTATAAACAAAAGTCCTTACCGCCGCGAAATAGTATGCAGTTTACCACAATAGCTAGGATTGAACAAATTTGAAGAGTTCGTCAAGACGCGTATATACGTACGTGCAACAGTGTTAAAAAACTTGTCATGTAGGCGTAAAGACGGTCACCGTAAATGTCGCTATTAACAGTTTGAAGGTGTTTACATGATACTGGGGCGAACTTCGTACCGGCGCGTGTTCACTCCGGTTACATCTCATGGCTCTTTACTCGCTTACCGCATAATACCGCCACAAAAATTGTCGTGTCGGCGCGATTCACACCGGAGCGAGAATCTCCTTCCGGTGAGAAATGGTTGTTCCTAAATCATGTCGTCCAAAAAAGAGTTTGTACAAAAGGACAGCTAGGATGACTTTCCGATTCGGGGCCAGCCGACTTCAGAAATTGTCGAAAACAAATAATCGCCATGAAATTTAAAAGTTCGCAAGTATTCTGTAGTGTGCGAGTTTTAACAAAAACGGCGCGTAGTTTGTTGGTGAAACAGAACGTGTAATCAACAAATAAAGTTATCAGAGAAAAGACTGGAAAGGGCCTTGTTCAAAGCTGGATTAAGGTAACCCTCGGTCAGAGCGAAATTTGAATACCAGAATTTGATCAGGATGCTCTAAATAGAATAGAGAAAATTATCCGAGTAAATACTTTTGAAGAAAAGAAATAAAAACCTGGATTCAAATTTAACCTCGGTTAATCAGCCTTCGAACAACTGAGCCCAGATCAGTATACCCACACCACACTACCCATTGGCACACTACCCATTGACTGGGAGACGGCCAACGTAGTTCCAGTTTTTAAGTCGGGGGAGCAAACGGCAGTTGATAACAATCCCTATTTTCTTAACTAGTCCGGTTGTCAAGTCTTTAGAACGTCTTATACACAATCACTAGCCTGCGAAAACATCCGTTTCTCCTCGCTCTTCGTCGCTGGGGAAGTTTCGCGCGAAACGTCCCCAGCGGCGAAGAGCGAGGAGAAACGGATGTTTTCGCAGGCTAACACAATCACATAATGAGTTTTCTTTCTGATAATAAGTTATTATGTGATAATCAACATGGCTTCAGACCACTTCGCTCATGTGTAACTCAGCTGCTCCAGTTTGTCCACGAGTGGCTTAGTATTCTTGATGAGCGTGGCTATGTGGATGCAATTTTTCTTAGACTTCGCAAAAGCCTTCGATAAAGTCTCCCATCCACACCTGCTACTAAAACGTCAACATTATGGAATTGAAAGGATAAAGTAACGAGGCTCTATTCAATAAACAGTTATGAAGACGGCGGCATAAAAATGACAGATATTGAAAGCTTGGTCAAAGCTGTACGACTACATTGTAGCTTGGCTAAAACGTATTTTCAGCGATAACGAAAGTACGTGGAAATTCTACTTGTTACATCTCCTACTTAATGTTGGTGGTCTTTTAATTTTTAAATGCAATTACGCAATGAACGATCTTTCTACAGAGAACTCTTAGAATGTCGGTTAGAATTTCGAAATCTCTTTTTAGCTGACAAAGAACGGCACTGTATAATTTGGAATAACAAAGATATAAGAATAGATGGAAAACCAGTCTTTTACAAATCCTATTATGACTCGGGGATATCTATCATTAAAGATCTCTTGTTCAATCTCGACAATATAGAACCTTTGAGAAAGCTAATTTCCTTACACGGACAGGTCTCAGGCACGCAATTCCTTCTATTCTGAAAACAATAGTGTACACTACCTTTACAGAAAATACTTATTTTACAAAAGGGAATGAGATTTTTGACATGGCGGAAAAGAAAACGAACGACTTCTACTCTTTAATAATATCAAATAAAGCACAATTACCTAGTAATGCAAATAATTTAAAACATGATTTCGGCTTATCTGAAAAAGACTTAAAAATTGCTTACAACCTTCCCCACCTGAAAGTACAGGACCTTACGTCAAATCCTTTCAATACAAAGTTTTAAATTCAATACTTTACACTGATGCAAAACTTTTTACAATTGGATATCTTCAGCATGACAAATGTACCGTTTTTGCGAGACTGAACAGGAATTCTCTTTTACTGTCGGCACTCGCTGGCAAAATATATTTATGGGATTGCAGAGAGAAACAGGTAAAGTAAGAATTAAATACCAAGTTGAAAAATATATTTCCACTAAGTAATAAATTAGAAACGTTTTATGAAAAATGGCTACAAGACATTTCTCCCCCCTAATTAAGTTCGTGTGCATGTAATTAAAATAGATACTTTTTTTTCTGTATTGTTTTTTTTTTTGGTTTTTGTTTTATTTCAGAGTATACTGTAAATAAGTGTTAATTTTTCTTTTATCTTCATAATTAAGTATTAATTAACTCTTTGTAAAATAAGCCACATTCAGGAATTGCGCCTGTTTTTTTTTTGTAATTAGTTCTTTGTAATGAGAGTAATAAATGTCTTGAATAAAAAAGATAATAAAAATAATAATAATAAAAAGATGTACAAGATTATTTTCGGACACAGTGGCATAGATCCTCGTATGTTTTTTGATTTTAATGTATTAGCGAAAACGCGTAGGAACCATATAATTTTAAGATAAGACAAATATACCTTGTTACGATCTTGATAAGACCTAAGAATACACGTGCAAATTACTTTAAATTTTCATTTTTCAATCGCTACATAACAGACTGGAATAGTACTCCATCGAACATTATGCATGCACCTTCATTAAGCAGTTTTAAGTCCTATCTATTAGATCATTTGTGTCAATTTTAAATCAGGTGTAACTCGTGAGTGACATGCAAGTATGCAATTTAATTAGGTTGGCTTTGGGCCGTACTTAAATTTTACTTCTTAATTTTTGGTGTCAATTTTAGTATGCAATTTAATTAGGTTAGTTTTGGGCCGAATTTAAATTTTACTTCTTAATTTTTAGTATGTTTAATACTGGAGAATATTCTCTGTATGGGAGTTTAGTTTCCCCTAATTATTCTCCAGTCATGCACTTTTTGTATTTCCCGTAATTTATTTACTTGTATTAGCATGACAAAGCATTATTAAACTTAAACTTAAACCACAACGCAATCGTTAGCCTGCGAAAACATCCGTTTCTCCTCGCTCTTTGCCGCTAGGGCCCTTTCGAAACGTCCCCAGCGGCGAAGAGCGAGGAAAAAACGGATGGTTTTGCAGGTTACACAATCGTAACCACCGAGCCTAACGCTTACACCAAACGATGTGCAAAGGGTTCAGAAGGTTTTGGCATCACTGTTGTGCAATAATACTTGCGGGAATGTTTCTTAAACGGAATGACAGACACTTGGGTGTTGGCACTTGTAAAAGAACTGAAGCGAATTTCTCGAAAACATTAAAGGCAGCGAAGCGTGCAGAGGCGGATCCAGGGGGAGGGTTGAGGGGGTTGCAACCCTCCCTTTGGGAAGTTTTGAAACTTGTCTGGCTATCCATGTCTAACCCTTTTTAATGCCAAAAATAATATTATAAGTTATAATGTTAGTTCCAGTCAAATCGATCATTTCAAGAACACTGTAGCTATTCCTGTTCTTGACTCCTTGATCATGCAAATGTAAGGTCGATTTTCTGACGAAGATGGCCAAGCTCGCCATCTGCTTTGTGTCGTGCCATCGATTATAGCAAATAAGGCACTACAGCCGGATGATGAAGTAGAAGGCATGCTGTCCTGGGAGAAAGATGGTATTCCATTTCTCAAATCCCTTAGAAATTAGGTACTTAGTAGATGGAAAACACTCTCGCAATCAACAGATAGGGAGCTTCCAAACAACCTTATATTAGCACCGGCCTGGTTTTTGCGATGAAGATGCTGTTCCAAACATCTGTCGCCTTCTAGTCATTGCCTGCACCCTACCGATCACAAACGCAGAAGTTGAGCCGTCGTTTTCACTGATGAAATGAATCAAGACCTGCTCTAGGTCAACAACGCCTGAAGAGCGATTCTCTGATCTCGCAGTAGATCGCTATATACTACTCCGAGAGATTCGAGAGAAGACGAGATATGCCAGCAAGTCTTTGTAAAGGCTTATCCAAGAAGGCTCTTTCAAGCTAGTCTGTTTGACAAACAACTATCGTTGTTGCACTGTACTTTTAGTGCAATAGTGTTTCAAATTTGACAAATTTATACCTCTTCAACCAAAAGGTCGAAAATCTACGTTTTCAAACATTGCCCTCCAACTCCCCTTCCCCTACTCACTGGCTCCGGGACGTTTGCCTTGAACTCTCATACTTATAACCCCCTCTTTGAAAAAATCCTGGATTCGCCCCTGAGCGTGGCTGATGGAAACTGGTACAAAGAAAAAGGTCATAGGGCGTGCAGGTCAACGCAGCGACTTCAACCCTCTCTCACAAAAAGTTTCTAAAGCTAGGAAAACACTTCATCATACATCTTTATAAACACTAAATTAAAAAAAACCAATAAAGAAAAAAGAGAGAGAAGACAGGAATTCAGCTCAGGAAAATTTAGTGCTGTCACTTTTCTTTCCTTTCAGTATGGCGACATCGTCAAATGTTAACAATTTTGCTGAATACATTAACGTAAGTTTCACATGAGAGTCAAAACCAAAAACGATGAATTTACATACAGTTTTAGCAAAAAGTAGTAGCAAGAAGAAAATTTGGCAAGAAACGCGAAAGCAAAATTTAACTGAAAAAGAGGACATGGCGAACAAAAAACTGGATCGGGTAAAGTAATTTAGCCAGTCAGATTTGGTAAGTGAACTATTGAATAAATTAATATTCCGGAAAAAGTACCGGAATGTTTCTTACGATCTGTTCCGTTTTTCTTTCTAACAGCATCATTAATAACCATGTTTTGAAACAAAGAAAGTCTTAGTTTGCTTTTCCTCCAGTTATTTAAGTGTAATTACTTTTTATTAGTTTCATTTGCAAACTGATAAAAAATGCAACATTTAGGCTAAACCGTGCTCCGCGGACATAGTATTGCAGAATATTGAAAGCAATCCATTCTTAACTACAGAAAAATATCACAAACCCCTCCTGATACGTTTCCAAGATAACCTTTCCATATAGCGTTTCCCCCGAGTCGTTATTTGACTTACAGTATCCGAACTTCAGTTTAAAACTTTTTTACAGACACTTCGGAGGTAGTAGAGGTGACTGAAACCAAAAAAATTGAGGGTTGAGTATGCGTCGGATTATTTTTGCTTAGAGATATTTTTACTCCGAGAAGCAGAATTGACATAGTTTCTTCTACCAAGAAAATACAGATATTATGCATGTAATAATTTAAGAAAGCGTCATAGGAGATCTTTATCGACTAGAATACAGGTACCGGCCAGAAGGACCTGTTCGTGTTTCGCTGTATCCTCTTGCTAGCTGGTAGAATTTACTTCAAGGAAGCTTTTACAACCTTACGAAGGAAGCAACAATATGGGACTTTTGAAACGAAGATGACTACGTTTTGTAACAATGACAATGTTTTCTGTTCGACTTCAAAGACTGGCGTTGTATTCGCTGTTGGTTCTTACAGTAATTTTAATTTACCAGATTTATAGCCATAGCGAAAAGCTGGTAAAACGGCAAGAAACACGGCCGGATGAAGCGATGAGATTAAACCATGTGGAATCGTTGGCGGAAAAAGACGAAGTGGCAAGAAGAGAATCTGAAGAGCGAATGAAGAAACGGGAGGTCGACATGGAACGGCCAAGTTTGCTCTTAAAGAAAGAAGTCAAGAGATTAAAATCGCGCATGAATCAAAAGGACGAGCTGATTCAGCGGTTAACTGCTCAATTACAAAAAGAGAAATCACAGGCGGAGAAATTTAAAAAGGAGGTTGGACACTTAAAGATTCAAAACGCCGAACTATTGACTGAAGTGGAAAGCAAAGCTGTGGCAGAAAACAGCGGAAGAAGTGAGCAAAACTCAGAACTCGTGAAAGATCAATCAAGCTCGAACAGCAAATTCCTAGCGAGTGTGCGCGATATTCAAGTGTCGGAACGCGTTCAGTTTCAAAGTTTCGCCAAAGCGCACGTTTTTGAGTACGCGTCGCTCGTGAGACCAAAGGATTATATTTTTCACGCCGGACAAAAAAAGGGGAGAGTAAAGTCAAGCAAGAAACATTTCATAGAAGCTCAGGACATCGCGATTAACTTTATAAACACAAATACGTCCTATCGTGTAAGTCGCGACAATGTCGTGGATGGAGTTTACAGAATCGACATTAACGCGGGAATTGATTATGAACTCTACTTCAAAGACTCGAAATCAAATAAATACATATCAATACGTCTAATTCGTCCGCTGGGACGTCTTCAGCCAGTTGCAATCCCAAATGATAGCAGGAATCCCAAGGAACTTATCAACCTGATTCTTCCATTGTCTGGCAGACTCGAGAGATTTCAGCAGTTTATAGACACATTCGTGGAGGTGTGCATAAAACGCGACAAGCATGTTTTCCTTACGGTAGTTTTGTACGGCGCTTCAGACTTCAAGAAAGTAAAATCTACTCTAAAAGACCTCGAGGCGACGTACGGTTTTAAAAAATATCAACTGATAATGCGAGATAAGCCTTTTTCTCGTGGTAGGGCTTTACACGACGGAGTTCTGTATTGGAGCAGTAAGCCCAGCAATGTTTTGTTGTTCTTTTGCGATGTTGACATAACCATCCGGCCTGAATTTCTCCGGCGGTGTCGCATGTATACGGAGCCAAAAAAGAAGGTCTATTACCCGATGGTGTTTAGCTTATATAATCCAAAGAATGTGTACGAAGATGGTAATATTCCCCCTCCTGCAGAACAGTTGAAAATCGGTAAGTTTAAACCGTTCTCCAATTTAGCTTTGGCCACACCCATACTGTAACAAATACAATCATGGAAAAAATAAATGGAAAACCTAGACCTCCCCTACCCCCAAATCAAAGATGGGAAAATTGCCCGTTTTTGCCCTTCGCGCGGCTGCATCTTGGATTTGGGGGGGATAGGGGTTTGCTGTTTCATTTTTTCTGCTTAAGATTGTACTCTTTGTAAGGGAATACAAGACAGTCATGAATTCTGTATTTCAGGTTCTGGAGGGGGGGGTTGGGATTTTTGGTTTTGGCCTTTTTTTAGGTCAGTTTTTCGGTTTTTGCACTGAAAACCTTCAGTTTTTCGCAGTTTTTCGCTTTTGTTGTCCTTTGCGGTTTCCGGTTTTTCCGTTTTTTAGCATCTGGTTTTTTCGGTTTTATGGCAAAAATAAAGCAGGTTAGATTCCTCTGTGGGGTTCTGTTCAGTCAGATGTTAAGCTACAGTAGTATATGTTTCTATTTCACAGTCAATCCAGGTCAAACTACATTGTGGGATTCTGGATTTTTGATCACAGTTTACAGCTATATAAGATCTTTTTGCCAACGCAATATTCAATCGAGGATCTTTGCGAATTCTCCTGGACAATCCTAGGGCAGATATGCAGGTTTTACGACCATAGCATCCATAGATGGTGCTGATAATGTGATGATATTGATATCTAGAATGATGATGTGATATTGTTTAGTCGGCAAAATTGAAGAACAACTCCCCAAAAATTCTGTCGGCCGAATGTCAAAGACGACAAACGGCCGACTCGATTGTCGTTAAACTGTAGGAGAGCTGTTGGTGGATGAGATGAGAGTTCATATTTATTGATCAAGGTAAAAGAGATAGTTTGAGTATCAGTTTTCTTTAACGAACGAGAGTTAGCTTTACAGCGGTTACCGGTTACGAAAGGTTTTTTCCTGTTTGTTGTAACCTGACCCGAGTTTTCGTGGACGTCAATCAACTGTTTCCATGGTTTTCTCAGGCGCTCTGGCAGAGAAGGTTCCCTCGTCGTAGCCTGCGATCATGCCCTCTCCTTTTATCTCTGTAATCTGTGCTCTCTTTTCGTTTCGCCTTGCCCGCCGGAAAGTTATTTACAAACCCAAACGAAAACTGAGCCTGTAAGTATGTACTGTAAATATCATATTATCCACTCCCCTCAGGGCTTTTCAGGGATAATTTACAACACTGGTTGGGGAACTTTGTCAGACTGCTTGACGTGCAGTTTACGAGTAATAAAGGAACGAGTAATGATGCCCCCATACACGAGTGTGAAAGTGAGATAGACCACTACACCGGGTACTACGTGCCCTACTCTTTACGAGGAGTGTGTGGGTTCTTCAACGTCCCACAGATTCATTACATGTGCAAGGGCTTGTGAGACGGGACCTACGGTAAAGTCAAACCGTTTGCATATGTTATTACAAAGGCAACACTTTCTCCTCAGTTATTTCAAGACCCTGAGTGCTGGTCCGACCTGGGTTTGAACCTACGGCCTCCCGCTCGGCATACCGGCGCACTCCCAACTGAGCCAACCGCTGCAGTATAAAAATGTCAAATAAACCCAGAAGTGAAACATCCTTATTTGATTCACAAGGAGCACAAGGAGCATGCACAAGTACCGCTTTTTTATATGTCTTTATGTTTCTCTCTTCAGGACGCCTTCACGGCTTTTGGCGAATATACGGATTTGGAATGACGTGCCAATACCGATCAGATTATCTTCAAGTTGGTGGCTTTGATTTGAACATTGAAGGATGGGGATCCGAAGATTCGGGACTATACCACAAGTACCTTCTTCAACCCAGTATTAGGTAATGTTAAAAACGGAAAAAAACAAAACAAAAACAAAGAAACATAAAACTCTTCTTCAGGTAAGCTTCCCTAATCTTGAAAACCCCCTAACATCGCGTTTCGTCAGAGTGAAGGGATATTACTCCAAAAAAATAGCTTTCGAATCTCTTTATATACGGTGGTCAAATAACTAATCAACACGCTGGATAAAACCACTAAGCTCTAGTTTCAAAACTTCAACGTTTAAGTTTTTTGAGCAAGATACGGCACAAATGTTCGTTAAGTCCTGTATTCTCTTTTTCTGCTCTTTTTCAGAATCATCCGCGCGCCCGACAGAGATTTGTTCCATCATTTTCACGAAAAGAAGTGCGACCCCGCCCTCACAACAGAGCAATATCAGTCTTGTTTGGGTTCCAAAGCGTCGGCTGAGGGAACGCACACTCAGATTGCTATTCAGCTGACAAAGCTTAGGGAGAAGTACGAATCAGATTCACTCCAGGACGAGGGCGACGACTGACCGTGCACACGTGACACGTGTGAGGCTAAACACGTGAGGAAGCCATTCAAAAACCCACAGGAACGACCCTTCAAGTTTTTTTTTTGTTTTGCTTTGCATCCTCTTCCATGGAGATAAGAATTAACCGCCTAATCACTTCAAATTTTTTTAACTGTGCTTATTCAAGAAACTCTTCCCGCCCGACCATTCATTAGTCTTAAGTCGAATTCCAAGAGTCTTCTCGCCCCTTCTTTCTCTAAAAATCCAGAAAACCGCTTGAAGGGGTAAGAAAAGAGTAAAGATACAAACAACAGACTCTAGGCTTGAAAAAACAGAGCTTCGTGACAGGAAGGACGAATGAGAGGTTTTAATGAACTTTGTCATAGCAGAACTGTCTTTGGTGAAAACGCACTTTTTTTTGCAAAAATAAAAGAGATTTCTCAATAAAATATTTTTTCAAAAAACGTTTACGCCATTTTCACTGTTATAAGCGAAAGATATCATTTTACTGATTTGCAAGGGAAATTTATGGGCAACCCCTTCTCACTCCCAGGAGCACCTCGGCTTTGGTGAACGCGATACCGGATAAAGACATGCCCTGGGGACAAGAATTTTACACCTCGCGTCTTTAGTATTTTTTTTTTGGCGGGGGAGGGGGGAGGGGGGGAAGGAAGGCTCTATTTCCGCCGCTCTCTGGAGCACGGGCTCATTTTCCGAGCAGCGGCTGGTAATCGAGCCTAAGGGGCAGGGGGAGGGTGGAGAAGGTTAAAGGGTGACAAACAATGTGCTCCATATGTATTTATTTCCTGAGCTGTGTAGCTGCAGTATTTATGCTATCAGTAATATTTTACCTGGAAGAAAAATCAACAAACAGCCAAATCTTCCAACCGCCATTTCTTAGTTTTCAGGATTTATTTCCACAGCGAATTGGCTTGCAGGATACAAACACGATAAGATTAATACATTCTTTTTTCAAGTCACTTCTTGACGTAAAACAAGAACATTCAAGTCATAATGAAACCTTCATTTCCATGTTTCCAGTCACCAGCTTCGCTTAAGACCACATTTAATTGTCACAATAAAATCACTCGGAGGTTTCTTATTGCCACTTCTGTCCCAGAAAATTTATATGCTATCATAACAGATAGGGAAAAATGCGATTTTTGACAAAACAAGACACACAAAACGTAGTGATTATGAAAATTCAATTTTACAGCAAGCAAGAGAAAAATAAGTTGTGTATGATGACTTACTAAATGGTTTTTCATCCACTAAGATTTAAATATTTTTGGTTTGAAAACAAGACCAGCTAGACTTTTGACAAGTGCCTTGGTCGAAATCGCTGATATTAGAGATGTCTATAAAGAGAGGTTCCATTGTGCTTTAACTAAGATGAACCCTGGAGTATTTGCACAAATTTATGAAGAAAGTGCAAGCTATCTTCTAACTTACACAGGTAAAAAATATATTGATTGCCTTAAGTTGTTTAAAACGACAGCTTGCTGTTCTCCTTCCACAAACAAGGACTGTTGTACGGATTTGTGAATTGAAGTGATTTCAGCCTGTCTTACAAAATTGGTTTGCAAAGCAAAAGCTAGGATTTTGAAGCGAAGAAGGTGAAAAATCTGTTACATTAGCAATAAAACAACTTCAACTGTTGTTATATCTACCTAGGACAAAATTACTAACTATTACTAAGTATTTTCTCTCAAAACCTCTCCCCTGATATGATTTCCAATACAGTGTACATCATAGATTATCACATGAGGACGAGAATGGCAAAGTCTAAGCACCATCACACTTGACAAAGCAAAGTTTGTGCTTAACTGTGAAAGGTTTTATTAATTCCTAAAGAGAAACCAACCTTTCTTCGCCATTTTCAAACAAAAAAAGAACTGCGATATCTTATTTCAGTTACTCATCATCTTCCTCTTCTTCATCTTCATCGTCCTCATCATCAACGTCACCATTCTCAACTCGTTCCAGGCGTTCTGCAACAAACAAAATCAACACTTTCACTTCTGGGTGCACTTAATCAAAAGTAACTCATCACTAAACTAGGGATAAAATTAAATAACCTTTTTACTGCTATTTTGAATTAGGGACAGTCACCATAGAGCATCCAAAAATAAAAAAAGTAGGTTTAAAAAGAATTCACAGGATTTCAAATGCAGTTCTGCTACTTAGAGCTGATATTGAGTGTAATCCAAAGAGAGGGTGCACCTTGTTATGGTAAAAGGCTCTACATTCCACAAGTGGTCCAAGCACTGTCAGCACTGTTGCATAACATTTAAAACATAAGGATTTGTATGGGAGAAAGAATCAGAAAGAATACCCTTTAATCAAAATTAAATTAAATGATAGAGGAAACATAATAGACATTGAACTGTAAATCTTGTGAATCAGCATAACAGGCATTCATCGGGCATGCAAGCAGGTTGCAAAGAAAGTCTAGTTTACAGCTTGTCACTCCTGCAAGTTGTGGCTTGCATATACTTCAGTGAGCCTGAAAGTCATTTCAACACGCCTAAAAAAATTTGATGAGCAGGATTGATTACAAGTCTTTTGTTATTTGAATTCCCCAAAAAACTCACTTGCCCATCGGGCAAGTTAAGAACAGAATTCACTAACTCGATAGCAAAAACCACCATGAAAATCTTCGCCAGATTTATGGCTAGTGGATTTTTTGAGTCCTGCTAATGACCACAATAATGATCTTGACATTCGTGACTACCCACTCTCATTCAAGCAGGCTTTTTTGTCAGTCAAGCCGGCTATTTTAGTAAACTACACCTTCAAAATTATTCCACGTCTTTTTTTTTGTCAGAGCAATTTTGAGCCAGTGGTCAGCTCTTTTTCAGCTGGTGAAATTAGCCCGCAGCCAGCTCTCAGGGGTTTCATTTCAGGCCAGACACGGGACACATCTGGTTGTTTGAAATGTAATGTTATGTGGTTCACACACAAAATAATTATGTAGAGATCGCCCCAAAAGCATCACCAAGACTTTCACCGATAGAGCTTCAGTAAGCTGATTTTTCTGATAAGTCAATGTAACAAATGGATTGAACATTTAAATTACTATCTGTAAACCATCTGTCATCCGGGATTCATACACTCCTTATGATTGGAATTTGTTTTGGAATTAACCAAAAACTGCAACAACTGCAAACTGTTAATAATATTATAACACTGCCAAATCAAAATTAATATTTCCCTTTTTGGGAGCTTTTAAGACCTTCCTGGTTAACCAATTCCAGTCCAGGGAATGCAGGAAATAGCATTTTAGAGAGTCCAATTTTGAAAACTTCTCATGGGAGCATGCCCCTGACCCCCTAGAAGTTTGTGCCTCCAGCAATCAACGTTCATGCCTGTGACACAAATACTGCAAGTCTGCCAGCTGAACCTCTGCAGCTAGTACTTCTGAATGCTACTGAAAACCCTGGGCCCGGTTCCTGAAATGCCAATTAGCGATAATCCAGGATTAAAATTTTGTTCCACTTTTTGTATTTACCTTCCTATGCATTGCCTAGAGGAACATTTTGTGCTATCATTTCTTTTTTTTTGAAGTAAAGGCACAACAGTATTTTGTAAGCTCGAGGAACATGTTCTTATACAAGAAAACCTTGCTTAAAATTTGGCTTAATCCTAGGCTAAACTTGACCATCTTTCGAGGAACCAGGCCCTGAGCTCTTAGGGACATCCCTGGGTAAAGAAACTTGTGAAGGTATTATAACTTACTTGCATCATTGTTTCGCACCATCAGTTCTGCAGCTCGGATTCTAGGTCCCTGGGTGTCAAAGCTCATTCCAAAACTCAACAGAGTTTTGTTCTTTTCCAGAGAATTGACAATTTTCTGTTCTACCTGGCTACCTATGATGGCACTCTGCAAATAACAATAAAACAGTTTTGTTCCAGGACTGAAAAATAACTGCTGGTCAATGTACAATATCCAGCGCGATTGCTGACTTGGCAGGTCAAACTCTAGTCTTGCCAGTCACTTTGATTGCTTACTTTGGATACAAACATTTATTTTCCATGAAGTTGTGAACTTAATGTGTCTCGTTCTATACCATTGCCATGATTATGCTATGCTCTAAAATCATGCCAAAAACCTGAATGTCAATGCAGTACTAAAGATCTGTTACTAGCATAGTTCAATATTATTTAATTGGGCGAAAATGATTATTGCATTCATCCATGTGGTAGATAACATGTAAACCAAATAATATTGACATTGTTTGCATTAAAGAATATTCTTTTCCCTTATTTCACCAAAAAGTTGAGGTATGGAAGTCATGACCCAGCTAACAAACTAAGTTAGAGCATAGAAATACTACTGGATAGGTAACAAAGGGAAAAAATGAGACTACAAGTTACATCCCTTCCAAAGAGAAAACAAAAATTCCGGCACATTGTTTTCAGCATAGAAATGAGATTCCAGCAGCAAGTAATTAAATCAGGATGTCAATCGCTGGAGAGAGTCCAGGTTAGTGAGAGTCCAGCTTTTTTGTGCTGCGACAAAATTGATCATGATTTCTGTTGGATTTCAGCAGCTTTGTCCAAGAATTTCCACAGAAGGACTTGGAAATTGCAACTAAAAACTGTATGTTAAATGTGAATCTAGTGTCAAACAAAAATCAATACACACCTGGTTGGTAAGCCGTACAGCCTTTAAGTTGGTATTGGTTTCTAGGACATTCATGATTGCCTGGCACACAAAAAAACCACAGTAAAGGTATTGCAATAAAGCACAAAAACTTTAATAAATAATAATTATTAGACCACTCCTTAGTCAAGAAAGAATTATTATTTCTTAACTAATAAGTGGTCAAAAAGTAGGAAAGGGAGGAGAGTGGTTGGTGGGCATTGCAAAAGAGATAAAATTCAATATAAATATGTTGCAGTTCTATTTTATCCATCACGGAATTTTTATTTTCCTTTGTTCCAAACTCATCATCATTCAATTTCAAACCCAAAAGCAATGGAATATAGAATTTTAGCCTGCAAATACAGCCATCTCTCCTTGCTGCTTGCCAATAGGACAATTTGAACCAAAGAAAACACTGAACCAGCAGGGCCAAGTGACCAGTGCATTACACTGGCAATTTGGCACTCCTGGGTTCGAGTCCCGCTCTGGCTACTGACTGGATTTGTTCTTGGTCGTCCCAAGTTCAACTCCTTGGCCACGCTTGTTAATAGCCAACTGGTTACCTTCTGCCAGGGGGGTTAATCCTGTTATGCTCTATTTGGATTATTTGTGTCTAAATATTTTAGTGACTTAAGTGGACTGCTTTCCACTATAAACAAACCTTTAACCTCAACTTTTTTAATATCACCAGATCTTTTCAGAGTTGAGTCATCAGGTGTAGTATGTTAGGGTAGTGGACAGAGTTATGCTAATGGCAATCAGTTGAGCCCAGTAAACGGATAAATGCCACGGGTAAGTGCGAATTTACCATCATATCATGACGTGTTAGGATCCAGGAGAAAAAATTTTCAGATTAGCACTGATCACCAAGATGAATGACTATATCACAATCAGAAAAGTAGTGATATACATACCATTATTCCTTCACCAGTTAGAAAATTGGATTCCAAGTTAATGCTCTCTAGTGTTTTGTTTTTATTTACAGCATCAGCAAACAACTAGATAATTTAGGGCAGAAAAAAAAAACTTCAATATTTTACACTAAAAAAAACAAACAAACAAAGCAAAACAAATCTGATTGGATTTTTGGGAAAATATAAAGGAGAAAACAATATCACATGAGTGCTGTGAATGGTTTTCATGTCTTGTCACAGTGTACACTGCAAAGCTTTCATACTTAAAAGCTTATTCCTATCATACAGGTCACAGTACTAAGTTTGAACCAGTAAAAAGGAGACAGCAATGATGTCTTGAGAGTTTAATGGTTCAGTGTAAACTGATTTTAATGCTTTGATACAACCACAAATATTGTATCAAACTCGTGTTTCATCACAGTTTATATTACATAAACTGGACTTAAACCAATTAAATTTTTTGATGACGTAGCTTATATCTTTAAGCCTGTTGATTCAGATGCTAAACTAAATTTGCCAACATTAACCCAGTTTTATGTAAAAAAAATGGCCACTACTGGTGTGAATCAAAGTTACCAGGTAGAATTTGTAAGTAAAAAGTAATATTCAAACACCTTGGCTGTCTTGTCTGTCATCTGTGTATTTGCCAGTTGAAGATGTTTAAGATTGGTGTTACTTTTTAGTGCTTTTGCTACATCTTCAAGCACTCCCACTGTAACTTCTTGATGGTTGTTTAGGTTTAAATTTTTGAGTTTAGGATCATTGCTCTTCAGTTGATCCATAGCTTTGTTGAGATTCAACTCATTTACGGCCGTCAGATCTGGCTTTTTAACCTTTGCTGCTTTCACAACACCTGGAAAGTCAATAAAAAGATTAATCACAAGGCTGAAAAAAAGTCCCGTCTAGTGATCCAATACAACTAGATTTTCTTGCCAGGCAAGAATTTTAGATCAAGAATTTTAGTACTTTCAAAAGCACAGGATACAAATGATCATTCCACTTTATGTGAAAAGAGTAAAGCTATTTAAGTAAGAGTGTTTTACATTTTTACAGTCCATTACACAAAGCCAGAGAAGCAAGAACCTTAGAATAAAATTAGTGCAAGGCATTCTAGTTGTATTATATATACCTAATTCTAAATATAAAAACAAATCTTGTTTCTCATAAGTTAAATTTATTATCTACACACCAGGTTTGTACTTCTTTAAGCCACTACCCCTGAGTGCTTTTCCAGCGTCCGTCTTTTCTGCCCAGTGACTCTGGTTTTGGGTCAGCATTCCATGTACTCCAAGAATTGCTGAAAGGTTCATTTGTGTAAAACAACTGTTAAATTATATCAAATAGCCATTGGAACAATCACCAACAAGATTAGAAAATGATATACTACCTGCAAGTTCCATCATCTCTTCTTCAGTGGCATTATCCAACACCTCACTCAGGTCGTCCGGTAACATGGGTTCAGGATCCTTTCGGCTGGGCTGGTCCTTAGGCCGCCACACCTTTCCTCGTTTTTCTTTCTTGTAAGGCACATAATCTTCACGTTCCTTCTCATTCTTAGCCTGTTCCTCCAAGTGATCTAGCAAATGTTGTCTGTCAAATGGACCCGTATTTTGCTTGTCTGTTTGATTTGCTTGACGTTCACTGACTGGAAGCAGAGCATTCTGAAATTGAAAATTATAATATATTTACATATTTCTCTTTCAAAGGTGAATCACAGAAGTTCTACAAATAACCTTTACCATTTTGAACAACAGATAAATATTGTCAAACTAGCTATAGGACAGAAATTACCAGTATTTTTTTTATTCATTTAACACTTTTATTCCTAGACTACATAAAAGACTTGAAAATATGGCACAAATCTCAAGGTTAGTTTGACAAGAGGAAAATATAACCGAATAATTATTGTGTGTATATGTGCAGCAATTATGACTGTATTTCAGAAATTAATTTTTGCTTTTATATCATACCATAACATAATATGTTTGCTAAACTTTGACAAACTTAATCAAATTATTGTCAGAAATCAACCATTATTGATTAGAGTTTTGGGGCACATAAATAATTTAATACAATAAACTTCAACAAAATGTGTTAAAACATGTTGGACTCCTGTTTGGAAAATGCTCTGATAGCTGTAGGTTAGCTTACTAATTACAAGCTGTTGTATTCTTTGCCATTTGTTTTCCAACTTAAAGTTACATGTACGGTACTAATCAATTTTGAGCTTAAACAGTGCTGGGAGAGATACTTTGATTTGAAATGTCAGTGAATATCTTTTAGTTATCCCTTAAATCAGTAAAAAGTTACAGTATTTGAGCCTATGTGTAACTCCTAATTCATCATAAGGTCAAGCTAGCTCAGGCATTCATGAGCCTATCAAGCCATCCATCTCGGTCCTGCAACAAAGCAGAGAGGTCGTTTGGAAGGCACTCTGTGTCTCTACAGAGTTGGTCGATGTAGTTGATTGCAGGGTCACCAACCTGCCTTTTACCATGGTTAGGTGACCACAGCAGTAGATCACTTGCGAGTTCTTGTTTTGCTTGCCAGCAGTGATCTGTGAAGCGCATTCTTCATCCATGTAAGATTGTAGAAATGTCAAGGATGGGTCTACGAAGCTGCAGTTTGGTTGGATGTTGTCTCCAAGAGATGTAAAGTATAGCTCTCAGCATCAAGTTATAGGTTCCATCGAGCTTAGACTCAAGGGAATTAATTAATGACCAGACTCCTAATTATATATATAAAATTTTTCAAATTTCATGGGGAATCCCAGCCTCCCAAAATCAGATATTTTTGAACAGAGGCTTAAGAGTCATTTTGAAGATGCATAGCAGTCTTAATCTACATCTATCTGGTCTGATGAATGAGCCTGTACAGTATTTTCTCAACTACATCTAGGCCTTGCAAACTGGCATATTGCTGTAACCTGCATTATATCTTAAGCAATTTTATCTCTGCTTAAACACCAACTTAGCATACGATGAAAACAGAATGAGGTTGTTATTGATGTATATGTATTTGAAGGAGCTCATACGATGGAAAATCAATGACAAACAAACATTTTAGAATTTATGGTCATAACCAGTGGTCAATCAAATTCTTCTTTATGGAATGACAGTCTTTTGTATATTTCATTTGCAGTTCCAGTTGTTTTACAGCCAAAAATTGCTGTCTTTCCTCTTCGAAAGGCATATGCAAAACAAATAAAACTAACCAGCAAAATATCACAACAACTTGTTACAAAAAAGATTCCTTAGCAGTGTTGAGTGAGTTTTCGAGCTAAATTTCACACATTAAAGAGAAAAACTCTTGAAAAGTAAGGAGATTTTGCGATTAAGTAGTATGATAGGTAATTTGAAATACTAGTGCAGCAGTAATTCAGCTTGAGCAAGTGAGCTTATTAAAATTATGGAAGAATCGCTCAGCACGAATCACAGGAGAGATCGAGGACAAAGAATGACCTGGATTCACAGACCTGTAGGCACAAATAAAATACCCTACATAGAAGTATAACTGTGCGATTCACTGTACACCAACGAATACGATAGAAAACAATTGTCATTAACTTAAATATTCGTTGGATGTTTGGTGCAAGAGGGATAGGCTCTGACAGCAGATCGATGTCAAATCATTCCCAAAACAAGATAACCTCGATCATGACTCTTACCTCGGGATCAATGGCCGCATTTAGATCTGCTAATTCTTCAGGAGAAAGAGCCTCAACTAAAGCATCCTCATCAATGTCTTGAAACTCATCAAGATTTACTGGGGCTTTCTTCTCCTTTACCCAAGACATGGCGGCTAAAGCGATCTCGAGAAACTAATATTGTTGTCGCTCTGTTTACGGATAAATAGCTTCTGCAACCCAAGATAACTTCAATAAGTAAAGACAACTACGTTCCCTTTGCAAAGGATCGATAACTTGCTTTTCCGGGGAAGAAATGAAGGAATGAAACGCTGTAAACTGAAGAAGATATTACGAGACTCGGGTACTCCCTGTCTGAAAAACCAACCAAGCCCGACCCAGTCCCCTCCGAGCTCTCCGCCCAAATATTCCGCGTAATGAACTTGATGACAGTGCGATATTTAAAGAATAGTTGCATTCACAAAAGACAAAATCTTTCGCGCGAGGCTTCTTACATTAGAAATAATTAAGTTTCGTCAAAAAATGAGTAATTTACTTTTTCTGATAGCACAAAAGGTCTTTGTCAGAATTCATATAACACATGTCTTTTTCTGACTACTTTAGCAACAGTGACGAAAGTCAACAAATCTCCTGACAAATTGAAATATTCCTTTGTTGCTATAGAAAGAATGAAAAGCAATTCGAAGTTTTGCTTACGTCACCCGTAGTCTTAATTAAGTGACAAACTACATCATCATTCCAAGGTAAAGAAAAAGAGAAAAACTAAATTTGATCCAGTGTTCGGCTAGTTTAGTATTTGTGTTTCTTTAAAGATTGTTCTTTCTGTCTCTTTACAGTTCCTAGACATACATGGTGGTAATCTCTTGATCCTGAATAACGAGGCCTTTATAATAGTAATAAAAAAAGTTCAGTGCTTCATCCACGACAGCTGTCAACACCTTACAAAACAAATGTAGTTCAGGTTCCTTCTTCAAACGTTTCTAGATCTTTCTGCTCCGCTATAAAGATCACTTCAAGCCAGGAGTTTCGCGTTTTTCAGACAGGCGAAGTTAAGGCCAAGCTAGCGCGATGGGAGCATCCGTCACGCGTGTCTCGTGCTCCACGCCCGCTTCGCGCCAAAAGAACGCGAGAAGAGAAAATAATGCCTGCTGCACCTTCAAAAAGATTGAACTCGGAGTCTTACAGACCACACTTAAAGCGCAAACACGTCCTTCCCCCGGCTTGGACCGAAAGGGTTACTTTTATGCCATTACGTAAGCAATAAAAGTATGTTCCTTGTCAAACCTTGTAGCTTCAAGTTGCTGAAAGTTACTCCCACGACGCTAAAAGTTGCCCGAAAATTGCTTGTATTTATGAGAAGATAATTTAACTGAAAGTATGCTTGTATCTTAGTTGCTTGAGTTTGAACGAACGAAAACCACTTACAATTTTGTAATTTGCATTTTTTCGGGGTGGGGGCGGGGGGGTTGGGGACAGAACGATCCGAACTTTTATGCAACTCGCGTTTGTCGAGATCCATCGACGCTTCACGCTTCACAGCCGGAGACCAGGGTTAGGTTTGTGAAGGACGATACCAAACAAACAACACATTTAAAAGTGTACGTAACTTTATTGATACAGCGTGGTGTTTGGTTTGAAACAAACCGGATCTGCTTTTACACCATCCAAGCAGAGTTGTCCTAACTGACTACTTCAAATTATTCATACCATTTATTGGTTATTTAAAAAATATTCCCAGTACATTATACTCTCGTCCTAGGTAGAAAACGTGAAAAACACTTCACAAGGGAATTCTACGCATTGCAGGTTTTAAAATTTTTAAAAAAGAATGAGAAAAACCATTGTTGTCCCAAACGAAGTTTTTCTCCTTTGAAGGTGACTTTATTTCTAAGTGCAAACCAGATATGAATATACTTTGAATTTATTACGAATTGGACTAATCACAAAAGCAAATTATAACATTATTAATCGTTTCGTACTTTATTAAAATTCTACGTCTTGTGTCTAAAAATACATGATCCCACCTATCACGGCATTGAAAGGAATATAAGGTATGTGATTAAGAATTTCAAATAAATCATGTACACTTAAAAAGGGAAACTAACAGGGTAATTTCCTGCATACATTTTTAATCTTCAAATTGGCTCATTATAGTTTGCTAAGGTACTTTAGACAATTCACTGCCCTCTACTTTCTGGTATAATTCGATAAAGCGCGAAACGAACGAGTGTATCAGTGTGGACCCCGAGGGATGGCGGAGGGGCGGGGGGGGGGGGCAAACACACTCTACCACTAACCCCCAGTAGTCATTTCGCTGGCTATTTGTCGCGGATCCTTCAGCTTGTGTTGTGAAAATAGAGAGGTTGTGAAGAGCCTAGTTTATCTGTAAGGGCTTTGCTTCTAGCAAGGTGAATTTACGCCATCTTGCTTTAATAACAAATTAAGAAAGCTTCTTTTAGCCTAAAACCATAGTTTACTCCTTTGAAGTTACGTTGTTAAAGCCCACCAAAATGCAAAGAGCTGCAAGATTAACTCGGTTGGTTAATGTTTTGCATCTGCATCTTATTAAGCGTTACTATTTCTTGCACTTTATATAAAAAATATCCTTTTGTGACACTCTAGGCGATGCCAACTCTGTGCTGATGGTGGTAGAAAAATCTTGTTATCTGTCAGATCAAGATCTCAAATGAGGTACTGGACTTTTTGACCTCCAATCTGAAAGCAGAGGTAAACATATTCAATTTTCACTTGAACTTTTCACTTAAAAAGAAAGTTAAAACGGGCAACAAAAACGTCCAACTTGTTTTTCAACCGTTGAACAGCGGTGTTGCTCATTTTACCGCACACGAATCAAACCTGCCTTGCAACAAATCAGGTTGCTGCAGGTAAGGCAAGACAGGTTTCAACGCTCTTTCATTATTTTTCTAGAAAAAGGGCGATGTTAAGTGATAAATGTTGTTGGAAAACCGCTCAAAATCGCTTTACAACACATTTTACAGCAATTTTGCCCGTTTTACCGTGGCTTTAACTACTATCTTCTCGTAAGGAGCAAAGGAGGTTCGATTTCCACTCGTTTTCTCGGGGGGAGGGCGGTGGGGAAAGCATGCGCATTTACCGGAAAGCTGCCGGTAACCGAAACTTTTAGAGGTTGTTCTTAGTCTTACACTCGGCTCCCGACCCGCGCGTTTGAATAAGCAACACAAGAGTTACGACAGTTTTTTTATATCTGCTAATCCCGAGGAAAAATATGACGGAGTTTAAACTCCGACACATCACAATATCGCAAAACTTTGGATCCTTAAAGGTTACTTTTTAAGATGAAATATAAATAAAATGATAACTCCGTTGTTTACCCTCGGTAGTATTTATAGCACTAATGTTAGTGGGGCCGAGCAAATGCATGAAATAAATAACTTAAATCAAACTCAAGAGGCTTAGGAATCCCAACTGGCCGCAGGCAAACCAGCTGGTTACTGTTTACAAGCGTGGTCGACGATATGAACTCGTGACTACCGGTGAACAAATCCAGCTAGCGGTCAGAGCGGGACTTGAACTCGGGGCCTCCGAATTGCAAGTCCAGCGCTCTAACCACTCGGCCACGCTGCCTCCTCGTAACAGTCTTAATAGTCTGCTAGTACACTGACAGAGCGAAATGCTGCCCTACCTTTCTCGGCCTGGTAGACACGCTAACAGCCGCGGTTTCTCCGTCATGTCCCTCTTGGAACACATCCACAACACAAACACTGGTGCTTGGGCTGAAGTTCCGGTCCCGGATCAAGAATTCTACGCATGGGGGATGCCTGTATGCGGCCCAAGAGTCGTGAAATTCAATAAACTGAAGGAAAACAAAAACGGGTTTGTTATACTGTGAAAGGTTTGAACCCAGGAGTCATTTCAAAAGTAGGTTGAGTTTGATCGTCCGGGTGAACGTAGTCCTGAATAGGACTGTTATTGTTGACAGTGACTGACGTTTCGACAACCTGTGCGGTAGTCATCTTCAGAGTCAAAGTGAGTTGTATCATGTCAGTTGATGGTATTATACTCTGGTTATTGGTCTGATTGGTCAATTACGTTGGTCAATTAAATCAAGAAATTATGATTCACCAACTTTGGATACTTGAATAAAAGGGTGGTACAAACGCCTAAACCAAGAGGCTGAGATGTGTGGGAAAAGCGAAAAGCAACTTACGTTCACTACAACAAAGGCTGAATATTTACTAGGATCGATCAGCAGCTGCTGTTCAGAAAATGAGCCGCACCGCTCCCCGAATTCAAACGTCTCTTCTCAGGAAGGACCGAGAGAGCGACAGAAATCAAACCAAAAATTAATTTACCTTCTTGCAGCTGGACCGAGCCACCCAGTTGTTATTGAGATCTCTGAGCTGCACTCTGATATCCCCCAAATCTCCGTGAACTAAAACTGGTTTGAAAGCCGAAAAAGGGAAGCGCCCTAACTCTGATTCGGAATAACAAACATCCTGAAAAAAAAATTACAGAGAAAGTAATTAAAATAAGGTCTCCTTGGCATGTTGAATTTTCTGTTTCTCTTTCTTACCCTCAAGGTTAAAGCTGACAAGAAGATGACTTTGCGGACCAGTCTAACGCAAGTGTCATTTCGCAAAAATACAGTGCATCAAATATGCGCGTCTTTTTTCAACTTCTAAAATGTAAGCAAGTTAAATCTTGGAGTAAGAACATTCTTGAAAAGTTGCGAGCCGTGTCTTTTCTATGCCTCGTATTTATAAGAACCAAAGGAAGTAGTTCTAACTTTTAGGATAGTACATTTATCAGGTGTCAAGGTGATTTTAACTTTCGAAAAACTGAGCGAAACACTTAAATACCCAAAACTAGTGAAGACATTTTTCTTTTGACTTAGAGAGTTAATCACGGGCCGGCCATCGAGAAGCAAAAACCCATCTGGCTGTCAGAGCAAGCACCGAATTTGGGCGTCGTACACGCTTAAGGCGCCTGCTGTACAAACCTTGAATGCTGCCTCCGTATCATCCAGTAAAATAACATTTAGCGCCCAGTCATCGTTAACTCTGGGAGGAGAGGCAAACACAGCCGCCAGCATGCGCTTGGTAGCCTGGCCACGAGTATGGGGACGAGCTCTACCAACCAAGCTAAAAGCAGAGAAATGGTCCACGAGGACTGAGACCGAGTTGGAGTCCACTTGGCACTGATCTCCACGCGCGTCACGCCCCTGCAGTGCTACATTTTTCCACTCTGAAGGCTGACCTGTAGGACGGAATCAATTGATTTCAGATGAAGTGTGAGGACATTAGCTTGTGTAACAGGCGCATACATAAAGTAGAAGGCGAGAAAACACGGATCGGCGCGAGGGAGACATACGATTGGAAAGGACAGTACAAGGACAGTACAAGCTATTTGGCTTCTATTGGGCTTCCTCGCCACTCTATTGATTAAAAAATTTAATTTTGAACTATTTTTTGTAACTCTTCCTGCCCTGTAAATTTGCAATCTTAGTTATATTTTTTCTTTTTCTTACTGTAATATTTATTTTATGTGGCAAAATGTATAAATAAATAAATAAATAAATAAATAAATAGATAAATAAATAAATAAATAAATAAAGGACGCACAAGAGAGGAATGCAAGGTTTTTTTGCGTACTCTAAAAAAAAGACACCCTTAAGCTTCAGCTTCATCTTTTTTAACAGTTATTTCATTAAAGGAGGTTAAGCCCTCTCCCGATGGCAAAATGATAAAACTTCTAACAACTGATAACTCGTTTCCGTCACTACGACATCAGTGAACTTACGCAAGAGAACGGCAAACCTGGTGTGACAAGTATGACTGTAATTTTGCTTCGAAAAATCATCCACCAAACTTAACCTTCTTTTAAACAGATCGTTATGTTAAAAACAAAGAACACCGTAATGCACAATGAAGACCACAACAAAATAAGCAAGTATTAGCCCTGTCACGTTTGTCACACACAAACGTTTTGCTGTCCTCATCTTTCTGTCGTCCTGTCGTGTAAGCTCACTATTTTCGCTAAAACTCGTAGTAGAACGACGACGGTTATCACGTTTTCCCGCCAAAATGACGCTAGCTCACGCGTGCGCACTACTTAGTACGAAGAAAATCTCGTACTCGTAGTGATCCTCGTTTTAGAATCTAAAGGTCTTTAATGTATAGAGAAACTAGACGCTGATCAAGAAGAGTATTGCACTTACCTGTGGGTGTGTCACTGGACTTCAGAGCAAAAGACCAGCCATCAGGAGTCATGGAGGCACAGTGAGGCAAGCGTAGCTCAACAGGCTTAAGAAACTGTGTACCATGAGGACCACACATAACTAGCGGACTCAAGAGGGTTTCTCCTAGAGCAAACAAACATAACTTAAAAGGTGAAAAATTCGTCTATCATGCAAAGCCACTCAGTAAACGGTAAGTCGTGTAAATACGCACAAGAAAAAGTTTGACAATTCAGTTGACCATGACATTCTAGTTGTCATAAATGAAGTTTGGTTGGTAATCCGACCGGAGAAAGTTCCAGCATGAATGGCTGAGTAGGAAGAATGCAGTCAAAATAAACACTGGCTTAAGTGAAGGGTGCCACAATTCTTGTTAGGATTTTTTTTATCACAATAACAAGAAAGCGTTCTTTATACACCGCCCAATAATCGATGAGCATGACTCGAAATCCCAATATGACATACGCTCGCTAGAGGCAAGGCATTGATAACAAACATTTCGAAAGAATGGATACATTCGATAACATTCCATGTCGCAAAACTTCAACTCACACACACAAGTTTTCTTGATTGCAGTCTGTTGCAGTTCTATTGAACGACTAGGTGGGAGGCCAGGGGTCGAATTGAAAAATTGAAAAGGAGGAACTAAAATTTGTCAGCGAAAATCCCGTCCCTCCCGCCCATTCACTCTATTGGAGCAAATTTCGAAAATGTTGACGCAAGGTTTATTAACCCAAAGGAAATTAAACTATTTCCTGACAGTATTTTGACATTTCAGCCAAATGTAGTCGTGCTATGTGTTCCGGTTGCATTTTTTTGTCGTTTCACTCGCAAAGCTACTGGCCAGGGTCAAACAGAAAGGAAATAGAATGAAATTGCTCCAATGCCCCTAATAATAACTGACGTACAAGAATAAAGCGCTTAAGTCGTTTTACCAGCTTCAAATGAGAAACACAAAACAAAAGACAACTATTTAAGTCGAGGGCTCACAACTGTACCTCGATCCGAATCCAACGGGGGCATAAAGTTGTTGTCTTTACAGACTTTAAAATAGATCTCCTGTTCCACACCATCGGGGATGGCTCCTTCTGGTATAACGATACTGACTCCGGACTCCGGGGAAGATAGGACTCCCCCCTGGGAGGTAAATTTGCCCCGGGCGGTGGCTACTACCTGTGTGTCTTCATCAAGGGATTCAAAATCACTGAAAGAAACACAAAAATACAATTGAGTGGATTTGCTAATCACGAACAAGGGCAGAAATCTGACTAGGCGCCAAGTACCCAAACGGCTAGTTTCCCCGAGAAAATTGCTGGTTTTGGGTTACCTGAACAGAAAGTCATTGCAGAAATAAGACAAACGACCCAAAAAAGGAACTTCTTTACATCAATCTTCCTCGAAATTTCAACATTGTTAGGTGTGAGAGGAAGGAGGGAGGGGGGTGGTGACCAGTTTTGCTAATATCATCGACCTCCTTTGCAGTTTTGGTCGAAAAAAGCAAGAGAGAACCACAAATGATTTAAACCTCAGTGATTTTGTTACAAATAGTTATGGTGAGTCCTGGGACCCACTTTGTGAAAAATCAGGAGTTTCAGTCTAGAACCAGTGAGTCCCAGTTCAAAAAACAACGAATCCGAAATTGAAAATGCTTGGAGCTTTATGTAACAAGACAGTTAATCTGAAGACAGATTCCAAAACTCTTTATTACAGTATACTGAAATTAAAATATAGTCCTTCTGTTTTAAAGCACAAAAAAGGCTAAAAGAAATGTGCACCGTTAGACAACAGCCGTAATGACTGCCACAGGAATTACACGAACAGGATATTTCTACAAAAACAAATGGATCGATCGATCGTTACATCCTACAGGACGCATGCCATGAATTATTTCGCCTCTTTTAAGATTTTTATGCGTCAGGGAAGCAGGACGCAGACGTAACAAAATCACAGAAACCTGGGAAATGTAAATTATTTTCTACAATCAACTGAAGAACGCTAACAATACTTTGCTTTGTTGCACTTTTCATGCACTTGAAAGGGGACTCAGGAGCTTAGTCTTTTAACAGTACACTTATTTGTACACAGACTGCAGTAATTTCAGTAACTTAACCCCTCAAGCGCATAAATAAACAACATCCATTCTCTTCTCACCTGGTGACAACATTTTGATCCATATCTGTTATCTTCTGTTTATATTCAGTCCTGTAAGTCGTGGGTCTCGGCTCGGGTTCGCGCTCTGGTCGGGAAAGTCTCGGAGATCCGGACAAACGAAAATTATACGTCACTGGCTCTCCTGGTCGAGGAGGGTCCCTAGGTCTGTTTGTAGGCGGATCACGTGACTGTCTGTCTCCTGAAGACGGCCTGTCAGAATTGATGGAATTGAAAGGCTTTGGAGCGTAAGCTGAATACGAGGAACGAGGTCGATCGGGGCGCACGGCCTCAAACTTGGGCTCTCTTTTAGAGGGAATCGTGACTTCGGCTCTATACCTCGGTTCACGAGGCAGACTTCCAGTTCCAGAACTCACAGGGAACTCTCGCTGAGGAGCGCTTTGCACTCGAGAATCGGAAAAATTCGCCCGAATTTCGGGTTCGGCAGGTTTCTCACGTTCCAAACGCGTGGGGAAAGAACGAGTTGGATAGTAGCTGGAATGCGCCACGGTCTCCTGTCTGTCTGGGTTAGAAGAATCAACAACAATGTTGCGAGGCCTTCTGTCGTAAGATTCGGACACGGGACGCGGTTTTCTTTCCTCCACAGAGCGTCTGCGTTGCGGAATTAAAGCAGATTCCAGATCCTCTAAGCGCTTTTCTAGGTCCATCTCTGGTTCTCTTTTCTTGTATTCGAACTCCACCGGTGGTTCTCGAACGCGATCGATCTGTTCGCGACGCTGGGTCGATTCGTTATCAATTGCCCACAGTTTAGAAACCGGGACTCCCACGCGTTCGTCGTACTCTCTTAGAAGGTCGGAATCAGTTTCGACTTTACGAAGACTTTCGCGCTTCATCCTCAACTCTTCGGCATCGGCATCGGAGCGATCAAAGCCATCGGGCATTCGAGTCTTCTTCAGTTCTTTTCTCAACACGACGGGGTCTTCGCGGGACGGCAACAACCTGGAAACAAACATTTCAACATCATCAATCCGAAAGGGCCGTATCTAAGTTTAGAAAAAAAAAAGAAATTTTTTTGTGCTGTGTTCACCTACTCCATAAAGCGGGCGCGTGAAATTGGGAAGTTTCATGTCGCAGTCGCGCAACGATAGCCTAAAACAACTGTTTTGAGAAAATAATCGACGAAAATTTTTATTTGCCTAAGTACATGAGAAAATATGGCTAAATTCTACGCGACAACTGTAGGAAACCAAAACCAGCGCGAAAAGCAACTGTTTGTCATTTTCTTTAACTCGGTGCTTGACCACAAACAGGCCATTCAAACAAGGCTAAGGGCGAAGATATTGATATGAATTTGATTTTTTATTCTCGAGCAAATAAAGCTCATTTTCACAGGAAAATCTTTGCACTTAGCCTCGTTTTGAAAGCGGGAGTTTTACGCCACTTGCACATCTCCCATAATGCAGCTTATTTGCCTCCCCTCCCCCCCCCACCCCAAAATTTTGCATAAGCATTGTTTTCAATTTCTCTTGGGACGGCTGCAATATCCAGGAGAAATGAAAAACAAAGGCTATGAAATTCTTTTTTGGGGGAGGGGGGGCATTATAGGAGGTGTGCAAGTGGCGTATGGCCTATTCTACTTACTTAACACCGGGCGGCTTGTATCCAGGCCTCTGTCTGTCCAAGGTATCCTCATTGAAGCCCTGCCTGCCATCACGGTAATCATCATCGTCATAACGAGCCCTGGGAAGATATTCTTCCTCATAACGATCCGGTCCATCATATCTGAGCTGGGGCTCCGAATACGCGGCACGGACACGACCCTCTCGAGGAGGCTCTGAATGAACCTGTGAGAAACAGTATGTGTTGAGTTAAAGTAACACTGCAGGTTGAAAACAAACACAGGGTCCGTCAGGTAAAATATGGTAAATGCTGTCGTACTTAGAATGAAAATCACCAGGAAACTGGGGCAAGTTATTTTTCGCAAAGAATTCTGGGACTGTCACCTGTCACCAGGGCCAAGCAAAAAATTGGCCAATAGCTGTCCAAGTAACTATCCCAGAAACAATTGTGGGACACATTTCGCCTCCAGTCACCTCGTTTTTGCGTAGCAAATGGTAAGTTCCACAATGAGCCATAATGGGGTGGGGTGGGGGGGCTATCGAAAGTTAAAGTCATTCACATATAGGTAAGGTCTAGAAGTGGAGTAATTTTAAGTAAAACTGAACCATTAGTTCATAATTTTCTTTTATCCAAATGTAATTTTAAGTAATACTTAACAATTGTAACATTGCTCCTTTAACATACACTCTACTTACATCGCTTGCGTAATCAGCAACAATTATGTGATCATCATCCATGGGTTGATTGGAGACAGAGGACCGGACAGTTGGTGAGTCTAACGTAGAGTCATAATCATAAGAAGTCGAGTAGCGACTGGGCATTCTGAATTCAATGTCGGCTTGTTCCTCTTGATCAAACTAAGAGGGAAAAATGCTGACAATAAATATAGCGCCAAACGCCCTAAAACAGCAATTTTTAATTAAAATTGAACTAACAACAGCGTTGAAGGTACTTAAAAGCTCTCGTAAAAACAATTTGCAAGCTATGTGCCTTTTTACCCAAGAGAACGTGGAATAATCTTGACTGTCTTCGCAAAAAATGGGGGCACGAATGCCCCTCTCTGATCTAGTCCCAGTCATTCCTGAGCTCCCGATCCTAAGATGTACAAGTCTAGCAGTGGAATTACTGTTCAGTTCCTGTTCAACAGACTTTCCTCTTCCTTTGGTATCTCTTTATTTTTATTTGTGTGAGAGGGAGGGTGATCTTTTTGTTACGTATTTTGGCTTAACCCAACTTTCATTTTGTGTATGAGATGTATGTCTTACGTAAATTTCATCGGAAACCAAGCTCGAGTGAACCATACTTTCTTTCCATGTTTTGTTCAAACTCCACAAAATGTCGGACAAACATTGTACATCAAATTTGCGCTCCATAAAGTTAATATGAAATTCTTGACCTACCTTGTCTTCGGACATCCACACTGGATCTTCCTGTTGTTTCTTAATTTCGTCTATTACCCTTGGGTACCAATTGTCCATGGACCCCGCCGGGATTACAGCTGAAATAACAACGTCAAATTTAAAGTTATGTTCACACTTTACCAGATAGATTTTCGTACCGCCAGGAAAAGCCATCCGGTATCATATGAACACTTATCCGATATGTGAATCTCCACTATCCGGTATGATTTTCGAGCCGGCGCAAAAGCTCTCCAGTATATAGTGAGAGCATAGCCTGAAACGTTTACAAAATCCTGCTTTACAATCCATTAAAACGCTAAGGACAAAGCGACAATTTATATTTCAACAATTTTGTCTTTCTTTGTTTGTTGTTTTGCTTCTAACAAAAATGACATAACAAAAAGCAATCCAGGGACGAGAAGCAAATTAGCTTGTAAGACTGCGAGCAAGCTCTCTCGACTGGGGCTGACAACATTCTACCTTAAATCTGCAATATCCAGTACCTTATTGAGACTATTAATCCTACAGTGTCCCATCAAAAAAGTAAAAAAATATTCCCGTTCTGTCCTTAGCAAGTGGGCTGGAACAAAAAACTAAAGAAAGGAAACATTTAAACTTTTCAACCTGTAAACATGTTGCTGTAGAATTCCTCTAATTTGACTGAGTTATCGTGAAGTTTCTTGATCATCTTAGAAGACTCGTCGATGCCATGCTGGCTTCTCATTACCCTGAAAAATGGAAACCGAAAAGATAAAATATATGTCAATTTACTTCTTTGCATACAACCTACACAAAATAGGCTTAGGGTCTGTTTACATTGGAGGTAAGGGACCCCAAATAGGTGAGGTAACATGTGGCGGGTCACAACTCCTATCATGTAAACGTGATCAAATTAAAATGAGGGATTATATGGACAGGCGGGTTACCCCACCTAAGCGGGTTACCTCACCTACCTGGAATGAAGTGGAGTCCCCCACCTCCATGTAAACAGGCCCTTAGAGTCTACATCGAACCTGCAAATCAGCTCTCCCCTCCCCCTTCATCCCCCTTTTTTTGCTCTTGTCCCAATTTCTCGAGGAACTCGCACAGTAAATCTTGCCAAGCAGGCTGGCATGGTGACATCTTATGAATTCATTAACCCCATCAGTCCCAGGAGTGACCAACCACAATATTCTCCTCACAATATCAATACACAATCAAGAGAATAGGTTTTGAGAATTAATACAGTAATCACCTGAGGGAAAATGCTTTGACCTTTTATCAAATCTCCTCAACTTATTCTTTATAAAAATGTATAGAGACCAGTTTGGAGAATTTGTATGTAAATATTGGGGCATAGAGGGTTAAGAGGCTCAAAACTTAAAACCTCATCATTTTTTTAATGATTTTAAGCGACGTGTGCAAAGTCTCAAAACGTTTGATTAGTTTTCTAATTTTTGTCTTATTTTGTGTGTATTTTTTGTCAGTTTTTAGAGATCTTAACTTGTTTCTCGAAGATATTAGCTATATAGTATAGCTACTCTAAAATTCGAATTAAAATAAAGGTTATGTATGTATGTATATATGTATCTGCTCAGAGATGACTGAAATTTAAAGAGTTTTTGCTTGTAAATTGTAACTTACTTGACCATCTGTTTATTGGGAGGCCTCAAGAAGATGACTATAGGGTAAAGCTGTGCATAGTTCAGTCTCTCCACCTCCTCAGGAGTGATATCTAACAAGCAGTGTTTACCCTGAGAATAAAAGCAACAGTTAGGTACGGCCCTAAACTCAAGTCTTCTGCCATTTCTCAGAAGATGTAGCTTGATCCAAGCTAAAACTACTGAAAGGAACTCCCAGCTGGCTTGCTAACTCAGTTCATTAGAGCACTGCACTGGTAAAGCACAGGTTAGGGTTTGAATCCTGGCAGAGCATGAATTTTTTTCAAGCTTTCTTTTTGCAACTGCATAAGTTGCTTATTTAACTGTGAATGATTTTCTCTGCATTTAGCAGTCTGTTATCTTGGCGTGGAAGCACAGGGTTTAACTACTGAGAACTTAGCCACAAGACTAGGCTCGATTACCAGCCGCTGTTCGGGAAATGAGCCCACACTCGGCGGAAATCGAGCCTACCACAAGACCCCAAGTCACAATGACAGTTTGTCACATGATTAACGCACCACTAAAATCAAATTTCTGTTTGTGAGCCAGTTACAACAAGGGTCACATATAGTGGCTTGTGATATACTTACAACATTTCTGTTAGCTAGTCAGTAAAAACAGGGGTCACATAGTGGCTTGTCATATACTTACACTCTCAACAACAGATCTGATTGCAGTGTAGCTCAGTGATCGCCGTGAAGACCTCATGGGACTTCGACCAACAGGCTGCATTCCTCCAAAAGCAGCTGAAATTACAAGAGAAGTAAAACTTGTCAGATAAACATGTACACTAGTAATTTTTTTTTGGCCAAGAAGAAACTTGGCATTTTCAGCTTGGGCAACATTGAACTTGCTCTTCCAAATTAATAATGCCAGAGATAAACACTAGTTCTCTGACAGACATTCATCAAATGTTAAACTAACATGAATATTGGCAGTCAAAGCTAGCAAGCATCTTATCAGGTAGACAGGTCTACTGATATCCACACTCTACTACCAGGTGGAAGAAGATACCATGATGGCACTAGATAAAAATGCTCTTACTTGGAATGGCAAATGTTTCAGGCATTTCTCGGAGCAGCTTGTCCCTTGTGATGTCAGCTATTGGTCCAAGTAAGACTACTGGTCTGACAAAGCCAGCTACAAAACAAAAGATACACTTGTTAATTCTATGAAATCTAGAGCAAAAAATGTTTTCACATCAACCGAGTTTGCTCCGAAAAAAAAAATTTTTGATCAACTTCTGTAAGTGGCAGACTCATAAGGGGCGTCTATTAGACGGGGGGCATTTGGTAGAGAGAGGCATCTAATGCAATTTTAATATTGTACAGGGGCGTTTCTTAGATAAAAGACGTTCATTTGGAACTGGGCATATTTGTTAGGTCATTAACGGGTAATCCCTTTAATTTGTTCTCTACTTTTAAATCTCCCATAATACACTCTGTTTGCACCAAAATTTCATGAAGGACTGCAAATTCCCAGCGGCATTTGAAAATGATAACTTATCAATATGCAAAATTTGGGAGGCAAGCAGTGTATCATGCAGCATTAAAAAATAGTCAGATCAACTGTTCTTTATTTTACTTACGTTTCTTGCGTGACACCCTTTCATAAGCTGGCAACCTGTTTTCTCTAGCGGTAGAAACTGAAAAAATTAAAACATTACGTTACACAATTTTGCCACAAAGCCACTCAAAACGTTATTAAGTGATCTGTTCCAAAAAAAAAAAAAAAAAACACACGCACACAAAATCACCTAAGTATCAAGCTAGCCTCGCAAGATATTGTTTATGGTATTTTACAGAGCACACATATATTTTCCCTCCCATAAAATGTTTTGTAGTGATTACACAACCTGAGCTCCCCACACTGACTTGAAAAAAACATCCACATACTTTACAATGGTCCTTTCATAACTACTAGGTCATATTACATTACAAAATCCAGCAGTGTAGTGGCTTTTGTTAGTTTTAAATAGACTACATCAAAAACAGTTAACATTACAAATGACTCTCTTATGGTTGCTGGTCTACTTACTAAAAGAGTCCTCATCCAGGTGATCAGATGAAACAAACTTGTATTTCTTGAGTGTCCCTCCCCGTGACGAGCTTCTTTTCAGGCTGTTGTAGTTGCTTTCTCCCCTCTTTGGAGGCTTTTCTTCGATTTTTTGCTGAACTTGGCATAATTGTTCAGCCCTGTGATAAGCAAAAAAAAAATGTAAAATCTCACACATATCATCTATACTTGCTCTAGGTGGGCAAAGATACAGCTTACCTTACTCTTAGGGTGTAAACCTCCCTAAAGTCTTGATTATACTTATATCGGAAACACTAGCAACTTATACTGGCCTAGTAGACCATCAATAAATACTCTTGTAGGATAAAACGCACTAACACATAACTAAATCTGTCCATTTTAATTGTACATACACTGATATCCTTAACAGATAAGACACTGATTATGACACCATTATTTCTGACAGGTTAAAGAAACCAAAACAAGGCTACACATAACACAATCCAAAATAATGAATCAACCTGGATTTGTTGGGTATAATTCCCACTTCTGCCTCGTTGCCTGCTTTGGTTACCACTTGTGCACGCCATGAACCAATCACGCCATCTTGCATGGTGTCCCAGATATGGAAAACATCCTCCTTACCGAAGGAAAGCTCCGAAGGCTTCATCTTCTCATAGTCAAAATGAACCCTTCAAAAACCAACATTACTTTCATTAGATCAATTTTCAATAAATATTAGGGAGCTTAGGCAATAATGATGGCGACGTCAACAAGAATGACAAAAAAGTAATATGTTTAGATTGCCAAAAAAACTTTGCACAAGCATCATGCTTTTTTGTACATTCTCTCGCTGTCACTGCACAATTACAACATGAAACTTCCTAATTTCACGTTTTGTGGAGGACGTGAATGGAAGACGACGACTTTCTTTCTCCTTTGCCGAAATTCAATACAGTCTTTTAGAATTCAACTCCCAAAAAAATGCCAACATTTGACAAATTGAATGAGACAGAACGAGCACCATAAAGTTTAACGCAGTGCAAATTCATTTTTTAAGTGATGTTTCCATAGCCGTCACTGTAGTTGTTGCTTAAGCTCCTTATTACTGAAGTATGGATACCAGGAAAATGTTGTGGTGACCTAAGATGCTCAATGTGTAATGATCATGGTAAATAAAACTAACAATAATTGATTTAAATTAACATCTTATGACTTTTGAAATCACATGGCAGCCCAGTAATAATCAGCCATGCAGATGCTTAAGAGCAGCAAATAGGAAATAAGCCTAAAATTTAGGTCCACTACAGCAAAAAACAACAACAACAATACATGTTATAACAACAAAAAGAATGGTTTTCTGGGCAGTAAGATACAGCTACTTGGAAAAAGCCTTAAATCTATGAGCACACAGACCTTGAAGTGGTTTCGTTATAAAGAAAGGCCAGGGAGGGATCCAAAAAATTTAGAGAGAGAGAACTGAGACATTTGCAAGCTACAATGATCCCATGTATCTGTTGGTGCTTGGAGGCTCTAAAAGACAGTGCCAACTGAGAATTCTTCACAATTTTAGCACTACATCAGACCGAAGGAGGTTCCCCCCCCCAAAAAAAAAAAAAATCCTTCAGCCTCTTCCCATGAAGGTTACCACACAGTTTTACATGTGAGATACATCTATAAATGCATGCATGAAATTTAATTTTTTAATATCATTGCAGCTTCTCATTAATATTGTCTGAGCATTAACACACCTACAGTACTGTAACTTACTTGATGAAAAATGAATCCCCAGATTCCGTGCTGATTTTGTCAAATGCTATCAAAAAGGCAAATTAATAATTTAATAGGTTACATTTTGTGGTCTACACGTCCACTTACATATTAAATCATTGATAAACTTCATATTGAGGATGGTGAATTAAAATATGGCCAGCAATGCTTACTTTCTCTCCCATACTTGCACAAAAGGTTGACTTCATCTCCAAGAGAGAGCAGAATCAAGACAGCTTCTTCCCTGGTGATATCCTTAAAATCTATATCATTGGCCTGAATTTGAAAAGAAAAAGTTCTCAGAATTTCCACATGGTCAGAACCTCTATTCTTGTAAACTGAAAGCCAAAGCTTTTTACTTTCTGAAAAGAAAAGCAATAGAACAAACTACTTCCAAAATAATGGTGAAAATAAATTCTCACACACAACTTGGAGCCATGCCAAGCCAACCAGCCTTTCAACAGCACAAGATCTTGTGCGTGAACTATCGTTTGCCATCCAAGTATAAAACAAAATGGCCAAAACCAGGAAAAAATGATTTATTAAAAATGCTTGGGTGATAAAAAGGTCAGGCAATGGTGGATGGCAACAAAAACAACTGAACTCTTAATCACTCATACTCCCAGCCAAGTGTCAGAAAATTTTTTTCCCTTTCTTTTGTTCTTCAGCCAGTGGAAAACCACATTGTTTTTATTGAGAAAATGTCATGTCTGGGTGTATTTGAATTAAATCATGAGGTTTGATTACTCACCATGAGAATCTGATCTCCCCTCCTTAATCCAGAATTGTAAGCTGGACTACCCTCCTTCACAGCTGCCACAAAAATACCGGCCATATTGCCACCAGACACTTGAATCCCAAGGCTGCCGCTCTTACGGAAGGATACAAGGCGTGCATCACTGCAAAATGAAGAGAGAAAAATTTTAAACTAAGTGGTGACACCTAATTTGAATCCTGTCAATTTCTTCAAAGTCAAATGTTAAAGAAATAACTTCAAATGTTATATCCATGTATTAATAGACAACGACAACAAGCACTTCTGACAAACATACCCTCTGTATCTTCTACGATCCATGGAATCCATATCACGGCTGCTGCGAGGAGAACTTGCACGTGAGTCATCTGGTGAATCACGACCCCAAGAACTTAGACGACCAGGGGAGTACGTCACTAATAGAAAAATAAATTCAGCAAAATCAGCACAATAATATTTTCTTATTATTTTCTTATAATATTTTTTAATATTTTTTCTTATAATATTTTCTTAAATTATGAATCACATGAGAGATAATGACCCCCCCAAAAAACAGTATTACAGTTGAACCGCCATCTGCAACCACCTCCCATAACCAACCACCTATCCAAAACACCAAAATTTTCCCAATCAAAACCCTATAACTAGAACCTCGAGCGTAACCGGCCACCTCTCATAAGCAGCTGCGACCACTGGTTCTATAGTTTTCCATTGTTTTAGCCTCTTGTAAGCGATGTTTCAAAGCACAACACGGTCTCTGTGTTCACTGTTACTTTATGTCACTTATAATATACAAAAAACTTTCAAACATGGAACTACACCTATACAGCTGTACGTACCTTGAAACAGACCAATTTCAATATATTAAAATTCAGACTTAGCACCAAGCCTTGGGGGAATAAAACAAAAGAAATCATCTTGAGGCTCAAAAATGAATAATACATTTCTTTTGTTTTATTCTTCCAAGCCTTGGAGCAAAGTACAGGGTTGTCATTAAAAGCCGGGGGCCGGGGATTTTCCCCGGCTACTAAGAGAGTGGCCCCCAGCTACTTTTATTGGAAAATAGAAGAAAAATAGAACCACAAGAAATGCCTAGCCGTTTGATTCCCCGCCTACTTGTTGTATTTACCCAGCAACTTGAAATCTTAGTGAGTATGATGTTTAATATATCGATATTGGTCTATTACATGCAATTAATTTCCAGCCAGATGGTAGATGTGTCAGGACCTCTTCTCAGAAGAGCCCGTAGTTTGCTTCTGATTAGCAGCCAACACTAAATTTTCACATTTCGGGTGGTCGCTTACATGAGGTTTGAATGGATTAGACATAACTGTATATTTGTCAACCTCTACCTTCTGCTGGTTTGGGGAACTCAGGTTCTGATTCCAGTCGTGAATTTTCAGTTGCTCTGAACACTTCTTCTCGGTCTGCCAAACCAGATACTCGCTCTCCTGTGTCTGGCCTCTTCCAGCTCATGTCTGAGTAATCAAATGAATATTATAGTACGAAACCCATTATAAAAAGGATCAAATATAAAACAACCGTAGTCTGGTAATATTGTAAGTTGTTCCATTAGAAGAGATTGTGACTGTCCAAAGCAATTGCTAATGAATTAATCAGTGCAAATCTGAACTTTTTCATTCTTTTCTTTGCTTTAAAAGGGAAGTCATACAGCCATATGGCAAGAGGTCTCTTCTGTTGGGTACAATGTCCAATGGTGGATCCAGGGGGAAGGCCTGGGGGGGGGGGCAGCCCCCCCTTATTTTTAGACCAAAGTGAGGCCCAAAGGGCCAAAAAAAAATTTTGGGACCACCCCCTCTCCCCCTATCTCAGGGTCTGGATGACTGCCCCTTCCTTCCCCCCTTATCCGAAGATCTGGATCCGCCACTGATGTCTGTCCAATCTGTATACCTTCCTGCTGTAGGATACACGTGAAGACTTTAAATGGTTCTTTTTGAACCCACAAACAAAGGGAATGAGGAGAGCCAAGGTGACATATTAGTTTTGGCAGTACTATTGACTGTAAATTGCATGTTAAAACACTAGTGCCATACAAAATTCCCCAGCAATACACCAACCTGAAAATGGCAGGCCATCTGAGGGAGGTGGGGGACGTTCTGGTAAGTCCTCTTCAGTGTAGTTTCTGAAACATAACCATACAAATGTATTTGCAGTTAAGCCACCTGCACACAGCAATTTTCACCCTTTTTTGGTAAGAGTGTATAATTTTGCATAAATTATGCCAAAATATGCATACTTGCTACCATGGAATAGTGGGGTAAGGCATTATAAGTATTTCATATAGCACGTGTTATAATTCTTGCTTCACTTTGGGTGTTGTGACACAGCATGACGTAATTTTTTGGCATTCTTTCAGGTATGAAAAGCATGAACAAGCATTGACAAAGTCAATACTGTAAAATATTCTTTTTTTTGCTTTTTTTGAAAATGTGATTACCCTGCATTACAAATTTCAAAGCAGAAAATCCAAATTGTTAGACATAACTTGACTAAACAGAAATTTTTTTTTTATTCTAAACACCTGGAAGGAAGTTCAGGTTCTCTCTCATCACCATACCCATTTGGCAAGTCTCTGTCCCTTGATTTATTCCTGAATGATGCTGGCAGAGAATGAGTGCTGTAGCTTGGTGGTAAGTGGTCATCCTTAAGCACCAACAGATCTAGTCTGTTTGAACGACGGACAGTATCAATGGCTTCTCGTAGGCTCATCTCTTCTGCTTTCCTGTCATTGATCTTCAAAAAGAAACCAAAATTATCAAAATCACAGAGGCAAGATATAGTATCAAATTAATTTGCACTTACACAGTAGGAGAGTAGCCAGTCTATGGAGTGACATTGCACAAGTTAACAATATTTTCACTGTTTTGCTAAAAGAAAACCGTGTAGAGGAGGCAATGCCCTTTCACATTTTGTTTTCTCTTTTCTAATACAGAGCTTGAAAAAAGGCCCATCAAGCAGAATACAAGGGAGGTCATGCCCGATAGCCCGAGGATATACTTTGCTTTCAGGCTAGTGAATCTTGCTCTTAACTTACCAAATAGGTAAATGAAGTTTTGGGGGGGGGAGAATTCCAATTACAGAAGAACTGTAATCAATCCTAATGGTCAAGACTTTTTTTTTTGGGGGGGGGGGGGGGGTTTTTTGTAGGTGTATAGATTAGTAGAATGGAGTGTTTAAATCAGAGAAGGGGAGAGGGAGTCTTGGGGAGACAAAAAAATGTAATAAAGAATGTTTTGTAATTGGGTTTTGTGGGGAGGTGTTTTTGGGGGGGGGGGGGTGTGCGCTAGTCAAAACGACTTTTAGGCTGGTACATGCTATCTACAGGTTGCCCAAAATGCAAGCCGTTAAACTGCCTTTCTTTGCACCCTGTCCAGTTGTTCAGTAGTTTTTCTTTCTGTGAAAGTATTATTTAGCTCAAGCCATTCTCCTAATGGGCAAGGGTCTGGGTATGTCATATTGAACTAAATCACTCATCAAGACAAGCAAGAAATGGCCCTGAAAATGTGTCGGCGGCTTTTCTTAAGTACAAGCTGGAATTTAAGCCCTGTGAAGTAGCCTGTGAGCAAGCTCTCCTAGGCACTCTGGTGGCAGAGCAGGGAAAGGAAGGAGAGCTTGAAACTACCTCTCTGGAATTTGAATTGCACCTCAAATTCCCCTGTGGCTCCCCATCAACTGAGCAATCAGATTTCGCCAATCAGTGCAAAGCGGAAACAAGCATAAATGTAAACAAACATCGAAAAACACATGCCAAGGGTAATGACAACATTACTAATGTCATCTCTGCCAATCAGCATTTCTCATCGACTTTTTCGATGCAGATATTCAAATTCCAGAGACGTGGTTGCAAGCTCTCCTTTCTTTTCTTGCCCTACCGCCAGTGCACTGAGGAGAGCTTGCTCACAGGCTACCTGTGAAAACGAAAAAAGATACTACAAGTCCAACATACCCTCAAAATAATGTCTCCAGATTTGAGCTCACCCTGCCTAGCAACCATGCCACTCTTATCAATTTCTTTAATAAATAACGATCCACCAAGTGAAAAGCCATAACCTGAATAAAGAGACATAACAATAATTAGATATCACAACCCATAAACAGAGGATATTACATGCCCTCATGTGGATACGAATTTTATCTTCGAGTGTCCAACTCGATATCTCATGTGTGAGCACAGCAAATGAGTGAGATATCGAGTTGAATACGAGAAGATAAAATTCGTATCCACGAGCGGGCATGTAATATTCTGTTTATTATATAGACACCGCTGGTGAGATGCTGTGATGCTCTTTTCCTATTTGTTGAGACTGACGTAGCCATGACAACTGTGATATCTTCACATGTGAAGGATAAAAATAATTATTGTATCTTTACTAGATACCAAATTTCGTCACTGGAAAAATCCTGGTATTCCGTTGGTGTCTATATCAGAAGAAATGTATCAAAGCATTACAAAATTACAGTAGTGCAAAATAAAATCACAATTCCTCGAACCCTTCATTTTTCAAATAACCGCTCAATAATTTGCAAAAAAAATTAATGACTTGCTTTTCTCAGTCAAAAAAGGAAATTTTTACAGGCAATTTTTCAAAGCTGAACATTGTGCTAATTTATTACCAATTTCCTTTTTTCCACATGAGGTAAGACTGGAAAAACAAAACAAAGACAAACAAACAAAGCGAAAGAACACAGGATTTTACTCATGATATTATGCTATACATACCTTTATTTTGCTGTTCTCTGATTAGTGTAACATTCTGAGGAACTTTGCCTTCCCGGGGATTACTTATTGAAGAAACAGACTTCCTTCGTTTTATTGCCTACAATCAAACATCAACAAAATTGTTTTATTGAAGAATGTATTAAGCAAAATTTTAAGGCCATTGGACTAATAACAGAATCAAGAGGGGCAAGGACCATCACTATCTGTAAACGAATCATTTTCAAAAATAATTTTCTAAAAAAAACTCACAAAGAACTGCATATTTTTTCCAACAAAGTCTTTAAATATGACGGGCATTATATCTCAATCTTTTTACTATCTTTTTTGTCAGAAAAAGCAACTGTAATATTCCCTGTTAAATCCTGTGACAAACATTTGAAAAACCTGTTTCACATGCCTTACATGTGTTGTTTTCCCAAAGTTCAAAATACTCTGCCAAGTTACACATCTGGCACGTTTGTTATGTTTTGATTTCACTGTCATGCCATTAAAGGTAAAAATCAATAAAAATCAACAACCATTCAATAGATTTAAGTCCAGAATCTTGGAAATGAAAGAAGATGCAGTAGTAGGTAAGCCACTTCTCCAAGATTCAGGTATGGTGATGTTTCATATGTGAGATACTCAGAGAAATGTCTTATGAAAATTTATAGAGTTTTTATGGAGAAGAAATGCTGGTGTCCCTTCTTGGGGCAATAACATGGCCGCTGGAAACCAACAGACAAACATTCAAGACACATATTCAAGATATTCAAGCATACTCTATCAAAAAAATAATGAAGAACCCTTGCAAAGCAAAAACTTGTATAAATAAAGGTGTTAAGCTGTTCTAATACTTCATAAAAATAAATACTCAGAAGAATTGATTACCCTGTAGTTTGAATTTTGATTACCTCATATGAAAACCAGCAATTATTGGACATTAAACTGTATCATAAAAATCAACGCATTGATTGAACTTACAAGACGAGCAGAATTGCCACTGTCTTTTAAAGCTTGAACAGCTTCTCCATGCATCACATTCTCAACATTAACATCATTCACTTGAAGTATAATGTCATTAACTCTGCAAAATATTTGTAATAATATTAGTATTTCTTAAAACATAAGCAAGCGAATATTAACGTTGACAGCCGACGTTTCGGTATCATCATGACACCAATATTAGTATTCATCAAATTAGAAGACAGCAATTTTTGTGCATTTAGATTGGCTCCTTTAACACGGAATATCTTTGGCCATTCATACTGCTTAAATTGCAATTACAGTGGAATCCTGTTACTACAGTCACCATTGGGCCACAAAAATTTGGTGGAATTAACCGGGTGGCCGTATTGCTGGGGTAGGCTCAAATTTCATGACTTGAGGGCATACATCGCACTCATCATACTGTTCTTGTTAATAAACAACCGGAATGTGGATAGTGCATCAGTAATTAAAAAACTTCTTCAAATGTTCCTTTAGTGCATGAAACTCCTTTAAAATTCAGTTATAAATCGCCACAAGTGCATTATTTTTAAGTGTACTGTAGTATAAAAACAGTATGAGAATAAGCTTAGATTACTAGGTCAATAAAATTGACATGTCATGGGCATTTTAATTTTCTATATTTTGAACGAGTGGCCATATTAACTGGGTGAAATTATAAGGGATTCTACTGTTTGGGATTTTAAAATGTGGCTGTTCGCCGTATTAATGGGTTTTTTAATCAGGAAATGTATGGCTGTTTTGCCAGGCCAAAAAAAACTGGCGGTAACAACAAGGTGACTGTAAGGTGGGGTTCCACTGTACCACTGCGACGATTGTATCTTCATTTAAATTTGTATTTCTGCAGTTCCCATCAAAAAACACAAACTTATCTAAAGCAGGAGACATAAAAGGCCAGTTTTGATGCTTACTTCAAAAGGCCATCAGATGGGCTTCCACGAACAATATCGGACACCACAATAGATGTGTCTCCACTTCCAAAATGAGGGTTGTCTCTTCCACCTGACACTGCAATTCCAAACCCTTGGTTCACATTCGCCTGCAAAGTAAATTATTAAAATGTAACACTGTGCCACAAAGATTGAAATAAAATAAAAATCAGATATTAAGATATGCAGACTAAAGTATTTCTACATTTGCCAATCAAAAATGATAATTTAACAACTCAGCTGTAAAACTAATTCACAGTATAACAAAATTGATTAATTGAATGAGCAAAAAGTGTCTTACATGGACAATTTTAACTACACTACTGTACATATTATTAAGAATCAAAACAATAACTCTAAATTGACAGATCACTTGAATCAAGAATACAAGATAGATTTTAAACACATCACTGTTCTTTTACTAACCTTCTCCAAAACTATAGTCTTTTTCTCCCACACGTACTGATGATCGCCAGGCTGTTTAAGCATAAAAAAGAGGAAATTATTATTACTAATGTGGCAAAATACACACTTAATAGCATGATGTACCACTGGTGTAATGTGTACTGTATATGTTCGTGCGGCCAATGTACCAAGCAGTTTTTCCCATGTAAGAACAACTCTACGTATATGTTATAGTTAATTTTTATCTCAAGTAATTTTTATTTTTCCGTTTTTTTAAACTTCATTAGCATTACCATACCCAAAAACAAAAGAAAAACAAAAATTACCTGCGATAAAACTTGACCACAACATGTACATTAACAAACTGCTATTGACATGATGGGTGCCAGACGTAATAACCTTGACTATTTACAGAAGGAAAAATTTACCCATTAGCTAAAATAAATAAAAAGCTGTTTAAGAAAAACACTTAAGAGCTTTTAAAAACTGTTTTGTCTTGCAGTATCTAATTGCCTGTTAATGGTTGCTGAGCAGAAGGTAACTTTGACATTTTTTAATATTCAAAGGTAGAACTACAAGTACCATTTCTATTTTTGTATAAACACTATATCAAACATACATAAGTCTCCAAAAACCGAGGCATCCTTCTTATATAGATGTGTTTAGATCCATTTACAAGTACAGCTCATTTTAATATCCACCAAATTGTGCTCATAATTCTCTTTATAAAACTCAGTTTCATTATCTGTGATTTTCCAGACTTTAAGACAGACTCGTCTGGAAAAACGCAAACACAATGTTAACTTGGTTTTGTCCGCTAAAATTTTCATTTTTAATCCCATTTTTATAGATATCTATAAAACGGTAACAGAAAATTAGCAGTAACTTGCTTTAAGGGTAAATTATTTCCAGTCTGATGTATGAAGTACATCGGCATAATGCTTTTTAAACTGCTCACACTTTTTTAGACAGCAAGTTCCTGCAGGTGTCCTAGGGGGGCAGTGGCATCAATCTAGTGGGAAATAAACTGCCTTTTTGCTTGGGAAAAAAGAGAAGGCCAAAGCCAATATGTAGAGGCAACCAAAAAATCAGCTGACCCTGTAGAAGTTTGACATCTTAGAACACAAGATGGCTTCTAGCAACAAGTATTCTTCGTAGAATATTAGCTAAGTTTCTGAAAAAAACAGGGACGTTTGGATGCCTATTACTTTCAAAGAGTTATTTATAAAATACACCAGGTTTTCAAGTAAGGTTTGATGAAAAACTCTAGTCACCAGTTGAATGATAGATTACAGGATTTGGTCACCAATGCAAAACATTTAGAACTACTAGAATCTGTATTAGATGTTTTTATATGACCCTGTAACTGTCTTAAAAGTCACTGACTTTTCTTGATATAATGTTGGTCTGAGGGGTAGAATTAGACCTTGAGGGCATTGGGGGGTCGGGGGGCCTCGTGTGTTAGGCAATGCAGAGAATTGTAAGCCAGACACTGTTGCTCAATTATTACTGAGCCTGATGAAAATGTGGACAGTTCTGATCTTGGTGACCCACAGAAACGGAAGGTTCCAGCAAATGGCAGTTGCCGAAGACTAAGTTTGAAAGGCAGTTCATTGAGAAAATGTGTTTTAGAAAGTATAAAATTAATGAGGAAGAACAGATCCTCATGAAAAAACAACAAAGCCATGGTAGGGCTTAAACAACAAAGTTGGCAAAGGTACAGGGAACTAAATGCTTTAAGAGAGCTCTATCAGGAAGTTCAAAACCACAACAGAATTTGCCACAATCTTTACAACCGACTAAGTATAAACAATGGTAGGAGAGAAAGCTCTTGTAAAACTGCTATAACAGAACACTGAAATATCTACTTTTTGTAAAAATTTAACACCTCAAACATTAAGAACTTAATTCTTGGAGGTAATTCTGCCAAAAGCAAAGTCATTAAAAATAAATAGCAGCAACAGGTTATCTGGAATAATTCCACCAAACTGAAAAGGTGTCAAAGTTTCCTAAATATGACATTAATTGCAATTGTCAAAAAGAACAAAGTTTTGTTATCAATTTACCTGTAAAGGAATCTCGTTACATGAAGAAATAGCTATGCTGGAAAGAATTACAGAGATAGTGCACTTTGTTTTGTTAAACCACAGGAAAAAATGGTGCAGATGCTATCTAATCTCCACAGTAAATATTCTGAGTAAAAATATGTTGATAAATAGATTAAAGTTAATGAAAATGTTACAGAAATTAAATCAACTCAGTCTACAAGATGTACATTTCCACCATAAGCTCGGGCAATTTAATTTTTATTGTTTACAAGATTGTTTACAAATAGGGTGATAAATTCCCAAGAGAAGTAACAACTGACTTCGTTAGACAGATCTCAAAGTAAACTTGACGCAAAATTGAACGGCTTGCGTGCGTTTCACTGCATTTTGTGATATAATTTAAATGTTGAAATTGTAATATAGCAAGTGACGTGGAAATCGTGGTTACTGTTATCAAATATATTTAATAACTGAAAAAATTGTGCGTCCTTAGAGCGAAATCGATAAAAGAAGCAAATTAAAACAAAGGCTTTTACTCAAAAAGCAAAATTACAATGAAAAGACGCAAATATCGGAATGTGCACGATCATATTGCAGTGATAACATTTAGGAAACTTTTCTTTCTTATTTGCTTTGAAAACCAAAGCTTCGAGATGCAGTGAACTGATAACCAAAACATTTTAAGTAGCAAGATGATCGATCAAAGACTTTTCAAAACTTCTGAGCTTTCTCACTTGAAAATGAACGCGAACAAAATCAATGATCCATGAATGATATTCGGCTCTCAAATCATCGCATCAAACTGAGGAAAATAGCTCATGATGGGTGCCGAAATTACCACTCACTTTTCGTGAGTGGGTCACACACGTTAACGTTAAAAAAATGGAAAAACCTTGAGCAGTTATCCCCGTCCATAGGCGACAAAATAAGTGACCCAAAACCACTAAAGGTGGGGTTAAAGACGAGGGAAAATTCAATACTTTTCTAGAAATCAAGCTCGACTTCCGATCAAAAAAATACCTCGCTACTTTTCCAAACCTAATCAATCAATACATCGTGTACACCAGCCACACACTGCCTGAGCGACCTTGTTAAATTTCGTGAAAAATAGGCCTGCCATTTTAAGTGAAATCAAATGACTTCATGCCGATCACAATAACAATCCAATTTATTTTTTCAAAGAACGGATTCTGGAAAAGAGCCGTTCAGAGAAACACTTACTATTATAACATTCAACCCACAAACTTTAGGATTACTGATCTTAAAAGCTTTGGGACAATCGAATCTCGTAGTAAATTCGTATTGACCTTTCGTATACGGACAACAACAATGATTTGAAATAGTCATTTATATTAGAACTTCATAGAAATACGAAATATGTGAAGGGTTTACAATTGTAGGGCACTAATTTTAGATATGATAAACTCTTCTCAACCCACATACAGTAAGTTAGCAACCACGGGTGTAAGCGAAACGCCAAAAAGCGCGCATACGCGAAATTCCAAGCATTGAAAATATTTCATTGTCAATTCCTCACACAACATCCCAACAAATCTCGTATCAGGTTCCATAATCAACCCAACGTAAGATTACTTGGAAAATCTCCCATAAAAAACATATATCTTCTTGATTTTTTTCACCCAACATAAAAAGACGGTCAAATTCACTGATATTAAAACGCTTTAAATACGATGGCCGTTCAAAACAATGATACGGTTGGTTTAAGTCGCTCACCTCGGCGTCTCCAACGGACTTGCGATAGTCATTATCGTTTTCAGGGTAGGGGCGACCTTCATCGCGTTTTTCTGAAACGTAGGGTGAGTACATTCGTCCTCTGTCGTATGAACTAGAGCGCTCTCTTCCTTGTCCGTCGCCTCGCATTTCCCTCCTGGGTTCTTCTTGGGGATAGCTTCTTTCAGGCGTATATTCGCGATCACGTTTACCACTGTAGAATTCGTTATTGTTATTTTCTCGTTGCTCAAAATCTCTAACCCTTTGAGGGCTTGAATATCTTGGGTAGCTTTCGCGAGGTTTGCTTTCTAAAATAAAACAGTAAGGAGTAATGTGTGAGACTCAGTGTATGCGATAGAGCATGAATTTCGTTCCAAGTAAACATATGCGTCAGCTTGAACGGTTTAATTCTGGTGTCATCCCTCAAACCAATAAAAGCAGGTTTGATAGGCTGTTTTGCATACATTAGAAAACAGAATCTACACAAAACCCTGCATAAAAACAAAACTAATTTCCGTGTAGAGAACGGGGAATAAAACTTAATAAAAACAGTTTAATCGCCTTTTGGAATATATTTGTACCAAAGTTTGCAAAGATAGTTGTTCGATAAGGCGGAACGAAGGTCTTTAAACGCTTTCGCACTCAAAAAATTCATGACACTAGCTTACCTGGAACTTCAATTTGCGGATTCTTAGCCCGTAATTTTGCTGCCAAGTGAGGATGAATATCTTCTAAAGCTACGCAGAGCTCTTGAAATCCCTTCGGACCCTTGTAATGGAGTAGGTCTAGTAAACTTTCAGTACGCTCTTGGGCGGTTCGCCCAATGTTTATGTCATCGATTTCTTTCTGCGTAAGTACGCCACTCACATACAGTAGCGGACAAACATCATTCGCTCTAACATCTCGAAGGAGGACGTCTCTATTTTCCAGTAAAGCCTTCTGATAAGGTTTCAACGCGGCCATGTTTGCCCCTCCAAGCTTGTTCGGCAGCGTCGTTCCCTAGCACTAGACTGTCAATCAATTCACAATTATTGTTAGGCTTTGTTTTTTAACCAATCAGAGCTGAGAAATGAGCAATACCCCACTGAGATAGTTGCTGACAATAAAAATATGCACGAGTTCATATTAGTGTTTCACAGTATTTTATCAAAATATTCGAGCGTTTGCTTGCGGAATGGTCATTATCATTTCTCCACATCCTTCCCGGTTAGCAGTGTTACTAGGATACAGCCAATAAATAATTATTACATTAGATCATTTGAAAAAAGCGGCCTAAATTTTTAGGCCTCTTCGCTTTACACACAGCCGAATTCCAATAACTATGCTTTCTAGAAAACCGGAACTACACACGAATTCCCCAACATTTTGTCATCCAAATTTTAAAAACTCTCGAAAGACACGTAAAAAATTAAAATCGTCGAAGCTCTTGACAAGAATATCATCAGTCAATTGGAACTATTAGCAAGTTCGCCGCCGTCGATCATTTTTGCTCCTTGTTAATTTCGCACTTTGAGAGTGAAACAAACAATTCAGACACAGCTCGTTGTGATTCGCGCTGTGATACAAAAAGTATCGTTTCAAAAATTTCAATTTGCTGGTTGAAAATTGGTGCCTATGTAACAGTAAATATTTGATTGCTAAATGGCCAATTTTGGCTCACGTACGCTGGTGTAAAACAGAATAAATTCACTTGGGATTTTTTTTATTTGCTCTGGATTATTCAATGTTATTTTAAACATAAATGATGTCAACGGGGTCTCTGTAGAACATAATGAAATGTCCAACCGACTGACAACGGTATTTCACATGCCAAGCGTCTGCCTTTAAAATTCAGCCAGGGCTGATAAATGATTATCTTCATTTTTGAGTTACAGACTGCAATATTTTGTCAATTTTTACGGAAATAACTATTTGTCGATTTTTGTAATTTTGCAAGTTACGGAAATACGCCACCACCTGAGGTTAACCCACCAGAATAATTTCTTTTTCTTTTCTTATTCCAAGCTAGAGAATTAATAAAATAAGATAGAAATCCTTGCCGTTACAACACCCCCCCCCCCCTCCAAAAAAAAAGATTCACATCACACCACCAGCGAGTTTCAACTGAATTTGTAAATAGTTCGGTAGTCTTGAGTGTACAGTGGATCAAGGAAAGTGTTGTGAAATATTTTAAAACTGACGTCATTGATGTTTATCCGGAATCCTTTCATTTTAATTTCCCGTTAGCCGATATTTGAGAAAATAGTGTTAGAATTCCACAGAAAATTTTACAAATATTTAACGACTAAAAAACTTACTTTCAAAACATGTACGGACAATTTTTTTTTTCACGGTCGTAAGAGGTTTACTCACTCTTAAAAACTGTGCAAAACAAACTCTGAAAGTTGTACAAAAAAATCCCGTGAACTTCATTTAGAGGGTGGAAAATAAGAAAAGCCATGACCAAAGAACTGCTACAGAGGTAACCCGTGATCAGGCGTTTTGTTTTTGCTTTTTTTGGAGGGGGGGGGGGGGGGGGGGGGTGGCAGCCCGAAAGTCAGCAGGGGAACAAAGAAAATGAAAAAAGGGAAGAAAGACCGCCTGATCGCAGTTCATTACTACTAAATCACTAAAGAGGCCCCTTGCATTGCAAACCAGAGATTAAGAAGCCGGAGAAGAATAGGAGACAGGGTCTGGTGAAAAAAACTGCTACTGGCGAGGTTTCATTTCAATGGTCACAAACTAGAAAGCGGTTAGACTATCACAGATCACTATAATTGACTCTCGGGTGCCGGATCATTAAGCCTTAACAAAGTATGATTGTTCTTAATTACTTTAAAGATACCCTTCACTAAAAACAAGGCATGGGGTGGCCAGACGACACACCCTTTGGCTGTATTCGTAGACAGGGTGATAATCATTTACAACTTGTTTGTTGATACCTACATATCCGCTTTGATAAAACAAGCAGATCTGGTTATCAGGGAAAGCGTACGTTTTCGGAGCACTTGAGTTCAAGAGCGGTAGTCATTTGAAGAATGTACAAACAGAAATGTGAAATGCAACTACCATGCATGCCTTTGAGTTCCATTTTCGTGACCCTAGTTCCCCGCCCTACCCCTCTCACTTTCGAGCGCTCGGCGGGCAGACTTCCTGTTGAATGACTACTGTGTCATAGTAATTCAACATTTATTGATCAGAGATGAGCTGAAGTTATAACTAAGTATTCTCGCTCAAAATTTCCAGTCTATACTTGGAACTCTATCAGATGATAAAGATTAAAGATATCAAAAGATTATATGAAAGGGAAAACAAAGTATCATCGGATTTTGGTCATTTTTCGACAACACAGGCTGAAAAATTAAAGGTGGCCCAGATATTTCGAGATGCAATCGGTTTCCAAGTCCTTGGTCCTCGTGAGATGTCCTTGGCCCGAAAGGCAAGGATAGGAGTGAATCATTTTGGAGGTTTTGTCAGATTACAATGCGACGTTAGGTTGTTTCAATAACAAAAAAAAGACTCTGACAGCTCAAGAACAGCTCGTTTTAGAATAGCTCAAGACTGGTACTTTGGGGATAAAAAGTTCACGTGAGGGACGCTGTATTTAGCAGCCAATAATAAGCTCATTTTATCAAAATAATAGCCTTAGTCTGTCTTCCTGTACAAAGTCCCTTTGTAACATTATTTCGACAAGTTGAATAAACCCCTATTATCAAGTCCCCCCTACCAACCAAGGTCGAGGTCCGTTAGTTCCTGTTGATTTGTAATGGTCAGTAGGACTGAGTGGAGTTCAATTCGGTCAGTAATCATACGAGTGATTAGGGAGCTTAAGCAATATCGACGACGACCACAATGACGACTTCAAAAAACAATGGCTTTAATAATCAAAACAACAGCTCTGCACGTGCATCACGCTTTTTAGTACATTTCTTTGACGTCCACTGCACGATTACGACGTGAAACCTTCTAATTTGACGTTTTATGGGAGGACGTGGACATACGTCGACGAATTTTCCTTCCTCTTTTTGAACCTGAATAAAATCCTTAAGAATTCAACTCCAGGAAAAGTCGCCCGCATTTGACGTATTGAATGGGTTCGAATAGACGCGATTAAGTTTGAAAGAACGCAAATTTATTTTTTTACCAACGTTTTCACTTCCGTCGTCGTCGTCCTTGCTTAGGGTCCCTATTAACAAAAATCGGACGACCGCAAAGCGAGAGTCCCATCCTTACAATTTCCGAGAAAACGTATGCATCCTTTTTCGGTGGAAGAGCATTTGAATATACCAAATGCCCACAATTGGGGAAAATAACACTTGCGGAGATACTGTCCAGTGTTACAAATTCGTCCATTTTGGAAAATCCCCAGTTTGGTAGGTTAAGGGCTTGTTACTATGGTTATTGTGATAACTTCTGTGATCGGTGGATTTAGCTGTGTGCACTTAATATGATTGGCTAATGTAACTGTCCAATGACAATCCTACACAGTGATTAGTGAAAAATAAAGCAGTTAATACACCAATCAAATTTGAGGAAATTGTAATGGTTTTGATTAATGCCATAAATTAAGGCACTTTACTATTTCTCTCGTGACAGGGAGTCTCACGCGAGTGCGGGTGAAGTCTTTCACGCGCGTGACCCCCATCGCCTGTCCTGTCTTTGATAATCACACCACTAATGTAATCGGGCGCCAAGCTTCTCGAGTAAGTAAGATCATAACAGGACCGTTAGATTTTGTTAAGGGCATCGGAAAAACTGTGATGAGTGCTTATAATAAATATGAATCCGTTAAGTTTGATTAAATTTTATTACATACAAGATCTTAATTTTCTGTACAAGAGTTATCAGCTTGCTATTATAATCGCAAGCAAATGGTTCTACGCCTTATGATAGGAACTTTGAGATCCTACGACGCAACGGAAACGAGAACTTCAAAAAAAGAAAAGGATTAACAACTTTTATACATTTCTTTACCGTTTATCATGTTGCACGATTACGATGTGAAATTGCCTAATTTTACGTTTTATGGAGGACGTAAACAAGAGAATCAAGAGATAAGGAAATCTAAACCTCGATATTGTTGCCTATGAATTCAACTCAAGGAGACTTCGCGTACATTTGACAAACAAACCAAGTGAACTGGAGTAACCGCGACAAAAACTGAAAGAACGAAAATTCACATTTTAAGCGACGTTTTCGCTCCCATCGCGTCCTTGGATCTTAAAGTCCCTGATATGGCATGAAGCAGTAGCGAGTCTACCCGAAAATATATTTCTTCCAAAAAATACAAAACAATTTTAATAGTGAACTCCCTAACGATACTAACTTACATCCAGTAAACTACAAAAGGTATTTTTCGATGATTATTATTATTCACACGGATGTGGATTTGGTTCTTCTTCTCTTGTCGTCTGAAGTGTTAGATCATTCATGGTAAGATTAACAAGCACTACGTTTAATATTACAGAGGAAATTTAGTGATCTAAACCCTTCAGGATCGCCATTCTTTTCACTACTTTAAACTTCATAGAAAACGAATAGTCTTTTTGGTATGGAAACATAAATTAATAGAGCAAACTTTTTTTGGTTATTGGCCTAAAAAACTCACATGAAATGTAGAGGGGAAGACAATGACAAATATAATAAGCTACTTGTCATTACAAGATAAAGCATTTCACGTTCTCTCCTGACATCTCGAGTAAGATTGTTACGCCGAAAAATGATAGAATATCCCTTTAAGTCAATAAATACATAAAATCAGTTTTATGTCTCCTATCAACTTCTCTAAACGAATCAGCAAACTTCGGAGCAATAATGTCTACTTTAAGGTACAAATTAGTGTTTTTTAAAAATGTCAAGTCTCCACTCCACCATAAAATGGCAATTTGGAACGGACAGCTTTAAGAGCTATTACGGTTAACCACAATCCTGAGCCCATGTGGATCTTTAATATGAACAGAATATCAACAGTCAAAACAAAAAAGAGCGAATTTTCCAAACTGCAAGGTAGACTGCGGTCGGTCTCTTTTTTT